ATTGGATGCGCATCTAATTCTGAGAGAATGACGTGGACTGTTTTAAAGGATAGAGGCTTAGATGACGTGGCTTCTTCTAAGAAGGGTTTTGGTTTTGCTGATGTGGATGGCCTAAGAGGCCTCAATTAGTTCCTTTTATTAGTAAGAGATTTTATTTTGCTAAAATCTATGTTCTACTTTAATCCAAGGAGTCTTTATTATCTCTACTTTGTTCATATTGATATAATCTTTCACCAAGATCTGTCCAATCTACAAAACGCTCATTCGCTTATAGACCTTTTCTATAATCTTTCTTAAAAATTTTACAATAACTTTTTTTTTGTCAAGTCTTTAGAATAAACGAGTCATTCTCTGTCGTAGGCCTGGACGTTTGTATATTCGGATTGATTCCATTCGGTTCCGGTATTTTCGGTTCTAGAGTTTAGGATCCATATTGGAACTGGTAAAATTTGGTTTGGGTTCAGTTCCGGTTCCGGTTCTTTCGGTTCTGAAGTTTAAGATTTTTTCGGGTAATTGTTTTCGGATATTTTGAGGTATTTCAGATATTTTATGTATTTTCGGATATTTTAGGGATATTTTGGGTATTTTTGTTTTTTTTCAATATATTTTTTGGTAGTTAAGATATTTTTTGTTTATTCAGTCTAAAAATAACTAATATTTTTGGCTATATAATTATATTTTCGGATACTCTAAATATTTTGGTTCAGTTCGATTCCGCTGATTTTGTTTCTACAATTTAGGATATGTTTGAATATTTTAAAATTTCGGTTTGGATTTGGTTCGGTTCTTTTTGCTTCGATTCCTGGTTGATCTGCACCTCTTTCGCTCTCTCCAGCGTCGCCCATTCAGGGTCATGAGTCTCACGTTGTGTTTTTGTTCAGTTTTCACTAACTTAAATTGATTATCAAAATTGCAAGGTAGATAGATTAGTTCAACGAGTGAGGTTGAGCCTTGAAGCTGCCTTTATTGTTTTGCCTAACATTTATATGTGATTTAAAATTATATTTAGTCTTATTTCTATAAACTAAATTATGTCATAGTCTAATACTAGTTGTTAACTTTTTATTGTTTCCTCAGTTGCATTTAAATTCCGGTCTAAGGGTGGTGTATAACTTGTAAGAAAAATCAAATTTCTTTAAATATAGTATAAATTTCACAAATCTTCTTTTTATTCATGAAAATGAGCTAAAATAATAGTACAGATTTTGAACTTTGTTTGCATATATACAATTGTAAGATTCTTTATTATAATGCAAAAATTCTATTAATTAGTAATTATTTTAAAAGGGTTAATTTCTAAGTTGTGATGTTTAAAATATGTATATCCAACATGTCACTTTGAACACTTTAAGCATTATTCTTTATCGAAGGAATTAAAAGTGTTATAAAACCAAAATAGATGCGTCTGAAATCCTAAAATACGGATTGCAAGAAAGTCGTTTGCTATTTTCTACCCATTAAATTATTTATTTTACCATTTATTAAAAAATGAGAGTTTAAAAACCCATTAAAAAGTTGAGAGTTTTATATATGTTTTAAAGAAAAGTGGGGTTTTTCTTCCCATTTTTTCAGTTTTATGCACGTGTAAAATTATACTTTTTATCATAAAAAGTTCATGTAAATTAGAGGTAATAGAGGTGATACATGTTGTAAGAAAAAATTAAAAGAGAAACATGAAGGGGTCTTTTTCACGGAAAAAAAAACTGTAATTAGATATTATCTTCTTTATGTCCTCGTTGAAATAATCAAAAATAAACACATTCATTTAGTGTATTTTTCATTTTGGTGTCAATTCATTTTGATATATGCGTTATCAAATTTATTCATGAACATAATACACCCAAATCTGAATTTCGCATCCACATAAATAAATAATATATTTATGCGTTATGTTCAAAAATAGAAAACCAAAAATTAAATACAGTTTCATTAATAAATAAAAAATATTGTAAAATTATGTTGGAGCTGATATTGTGCTACTGCTAGGCAAGTACCAAGACTACTTAGTGTGGGTGTCACGACTCTTGCTGTTCAATAGACTATGGATTGCTTCAATCCAGCCCCATTTTATAAATAATTGAATCTTTAAACTTTATCATGTTATTAAACCATGATATGTTGGTTTTCTATCTAACCCAAAAATGTAAAAGTGTCTTCGCTATAAATATTTGAATTCTGGAAACTTCCTAAGGTCTTGAAGAACATGAAGACTTGGTGCACCAAAAAGAAAAACAACTTAAATTAGAATATTTGTACAATTAACAATTTCTATAACAACTAACAATTCTTGATATATTGTTTATACAAGTGCTTTGCTATCCAATTGCGTCTCTCCAATCACACCATTAAACAAAAACAAAGGACAGGAATCTAACAAAGAAAAGAAATTTGGTCGGAGAGAATAAACATATATGATATATCTTATATTAACAAAAGAAAAGGGAATATACATACATATTTCTGTCTACTTGTCGTTGTGATTTGTGAATATATAGAAGTACGGATGAAGACATGAAAATTAAAATAGAAATAATAGCTCCTTTTTTTGTTATCTAATAAATAGATTAGAAAACTAACGAAAAGTTACAACACCCCACAGTTAACGAAATAGATTTTACTTTTGAAATGAAGAAGTCGATGAATATTTTCGAAGAAGTCCAAAAAAAAAAACTATCTACAGTACCTCCTAAGCAATATGGAAGCCAAAAACCAGAAGGGACCAAATCCAAAACTAAGACAAAGAGTTCAATTACTAAATTCGAGAATCTACTAAAAACCACCTCGACCACATCTAAACCATATATAAAAAAAAGTTTGATATAGTGGCTAACCGAAAAGGACGAGAAAATCTACGATAACCGAAAACGGTTCTTTCAATAGTAGATAAAGATTATCTCACTGAACAAGAGTTGCAAAAAACTATACCAGCAAACAAGAACTAGGCCGAAAGACTAGAACCAAACACAACTTTAGATATGATAGATGATTGGATTAAAACAAATTTTGAGTTTAAGTCTTGATCCAAAATATGATGAAGTGGGACCCACTCCGTGAGGCCAAGTAAATGTCAACTTAAACTGAAACAAAGCGAATCTCTCAAAATATTTTATAGTTCAGAGATGAATAAGTCGCCGTCTTCAGACAACGCGTTTGAGATCTTTCTCACCTTTGTTCTCATTATAATTATTTTTTTCTTCTAATTATTGACATCTAAAACGATGTGTTTCTAGAAGATTGACACATTTGTCTATCTATCTATAATAATATAATATTGCATTTCTACCAAACTCTCTTATTCATCTTTGTTTTCTAGAGTGTTTGTTGAAATGTAAATTTCTGAGTATTTTTCATTTGTTTTCTTAGTTTTGACCAACTATTTTGTTGACTATGTTGCTTGGAGAAAAAGGAACAAGAGGAGGAGTGTTAATCTTCTAGAATCGTTATATTTTAAGTTGACACCTAAATAATATTATCGTTCTCAAATTATTTGTAGATAGGCATGACATCAAGATTTTAGTTGTTACCTTATTGTTATAGTTGTGAAATATATCTTTTGATTGTTATAGTTCATACTTCATTCCCATGAACTAAGATTACAAAACCTTAAACCAAAAAAAAGCTCACAAAACCCTAGATATTATCTCAAAGTCTCTATTTGGAATATAGTCATTGCCTAGCTACTTCAAAAAAGTGAGAAGCTAGGAACACTAAAACAAAAGATAGTCTCGTATGTTTACAATTATAGCTATTTCTTTATTTTCTTTTAAAAAGGATAGTAAGAAGACAAAAAAGTAAAATATAATGGAAATAGGATTTTTTTTATTTTATTTTAAATCATGAATGTTTTGAACTTTTAAGCTCTCAATATTACATTCATTGTACACACGGTTTTTTATGAATAAATTTTACAGTTATACAAAAAAAAAAATCTGAACTTTTGGTACATAATTTCTTCTTCTCTTCGAAGTTAGATCTTAGATAATCTAATTTCTCGAATAAGTGAATAATTTTTCGTGCAAAAAAAAATTGAATCCACAGCATAAAAGAATCAACTTTTTTTGTACTAGACTGCCATCATTATTAGTAAAATGGAGATAGGTTGAAAAAAGAAAGTTTGTATAGAGTAGATGTAATTTTTTTAACAGTTTGATAGGAATTAATAATTTTCAATCACTATCCGTCTATCCCTTTCTAGAATCGAGATAATGCTTTGTACAATTATTTAAAGAGTACATCTTTAAAATTAAAGCTTGAAACTAAAAGGATATTCCATTATTAATATGTGATGTTTCTTTAATTTGATTTTGATACCATCAAAAATTTAACAGAATTTAAGATGTATATTTTCTTAAACAAAAATATGTTAAATATTTTACCGAAACGGTATCGTGATTATTAACCAAAACTAGTAGTCAAATTTGACCAGGACACACCAGCTTGTAACTACTATAAATGACAAAAACAAAATAGAAGCACATAAACAAAATAGCTTTATTATTGTTTCTTTTAAATTTATACTCAAACTCTCAAATATCTAAAATATTCTCAAAAATAATAAACAAAATTTTATTTTATCAGAAACTCTTTTTTGGCGTCATTGCATAAGAATCACATGTTTATGGTCCATTGACGTAAAAAGATAACACGTTAGAGAAGGAGGGCAAAAGCTGTCATCGTCTACAATTTTGGAAGCACCCACCACTGACTAAAAAATCAACTCGTTAATAATTTTCTTAGAAACTACTATCAATAAAGATTAAAATAAGCGTGTGTTATAAAAATATTTACAATGTCAAAAAAATATAAAGCCACCCCAATAGAATGATTTTTTTTTTTGTTTTAAAGAGTAGCAATAGTAGTAGTAGTAGGTGAATTTGAATTGAAATTAGTAATCAATAAAGTCTTCTTCCTCTCTCTCTCCTCGTGACCTTTAAAAACCGAGTTAATATAACAAAAAAACTTTATATTATAAAGTCTTCTTCTCATATTCTTAAAAAAACCATTCATCTCTCATTCCAAACCAAAAGCAAGAACAAAAAGAAGAAGAAAAGAAACACAAATCAACAATGGCGGTGAAGAAGAAAGTTTCATGGAGATCATTAATCGTTGGATGTTTAGGAGATCCAGAAACCCTAATGGCTTCTTCAAAGAAACCTAAAAGAAAAGATGACGTCATCAAGAAACAGAGCTCGTTTCAAAGACTATCGATTCTTGATATGAGCAATCCAAGTTCCAACACTTTATCAGAAGATCTATCGATTTCTTTGGCTGGATCAGATCTTCATGTGTTTACCCTAGCAGAGCTTAAAGTCATTACACAAAGCTTTTCATCGACAAATTTCCTCGGTGAAGGAGGGTTTGGTCCTGTTCATAAGGGTTTCATCGATGATAAGCTACGTCCTGGTCTTAAAGCTCAGCCTGTTGCTGTTAAATTGCTTGATCTTGAAGGTCTTCAAGGTCACCGTGAATGGCTGGTTAGTTTCTTTTTCCCTAAATATTTATCTTTTCGATTTGATGGGTCTTTCTCTTATATTGAGTTTAATCTTTTTTTCAGACGGAAGTTATGTTTTTAGGACAATTGAAGCATAAAAATTTGGTGAAATTGATTGGTTATTGTTGTGAGGAAGAACATAGAACTCTTGTTTATGAGTTCATGCCTCGTGGCAGCTTAGAGAATCAACTATTCAGAAGTAAGCCTCTCTCTTTCTCTATGTTTTCTTATTCAGACAAATGTTTGTTGGTACTAAATTTATGACAACTTTCCTATGAATTCCTGTCCTAACAGAACTTCCTAAAAAATGGATTAAAATTTCAGGATACTCTGCCTCGCTTCCATGGTCAACAAGAATGAAGATCGCTCATGGAGCTGCAACAGGACTTCAATTCTTACACGAAGCCGAAAATCCCGTTATCTATCGGGATTTCAAAGCCTCGAATATCTTGTTAGATTCGGTAAGCAAAAAACGTATTTGTTTTAATTAATTTTTACTTGTTGACCAAACAACAAAATAAACAGAACAACCCTTGTGCTTAATCAACTATTTTTCAAATTTCATTCCTAAAGTTCTAACAAAGCTCTCATCTCAAATCTTGTTTTCAGGATTACACGGCGAAACTCTCTGACTTCGGGTTAGCCAAAGACGGACCAGAAGGAGACGATACTCACGTGTCAACGCGAGTGATGGGTACACAAGGCTACGCGGCTCCTGAATACATTATGACCGGTCATTTAACAGCAAGAAGTGACGTGTACAGCTTTGGAGTCGTGTTGCTCGAGCTTTTGACTGGACGAAGATCAGTAGACAAAAAGAGATCATCGAGGGAACAGAACTTAGTGGACTGGGCTCGTCCAATGCTCAATGACCCACGTAAACTATGTCGAATCATGGACCCGAGACTTGAAGGTCAGTACTCAGAGACAGGAGCAAGAAAAGCAGCAACATTGGCTTACCAATGCTTAAGCCACCGACCGAAGAACCGGCCTTGTATGAGTGCTGTTGTCTCTATCCTCAACGATCTTAAGGACTATAATGATATTCCTATGGGGACATTTACTTACACGGTGCCAAACACTCCGGACAAGTCAGTCTCGGACAATAAAGAAGATGAAGGTCGTGTGGGTAATAAGCCACGTAAGAGTAGTCACCATCATCATCAACAACAAAGTAATCATCCACGGTCGTCGCCATCACCAATGGCCAAGTCACCATCGCCGACGACCAAGTCGCCATCTCCCACGGCCAAGTCGCCGAGGAATTCCAGAGAAAACCACCGGAGAACGTTGAGAAATGGAGTGGATTCGCCGTTGAGAAGTGAGGCAGGTGGGGAACGGTACTGAGTTTTCTAGTCTCACCAACTCTTAAAATTCTTTTTTTTTATAAATTAAATCTAATGTAAATAATTATTACCGTTGTCTTTTCGTAATGTAAAAATATATAATTATTTTTTGTGAAAAATAGTAGATGGTCTTTTCGTTGGGGAGAAAAAATTGAGTTTACTTTTTTTGTTTAAGTCTTTTTGTTTTGTTTTGTTTGATCAAAATCAAAGCAAGAAGAGCGGTCCAATGTGACATTCTTTTGTTTATGAACAACATTTCGTCGTCTAAAGAAAGACGCGTTATTCACCACCGCTCGCTTTTGTACTTCGTATCCTTAAAAGGAAAATGCCCGATCTCTCTATTGTTAATAAATATTTGGTATTGTATTTTCTTTTAAGATGTATCATATTGGACCAATTATATATATATATATATATATATATATATAATCTGGGTAAATTTCTTTTCGAAAATTTCTTTTAATAATCTGGGTAAATTTCTTTTCGAAAATTTACGACTATTAAGATTATATGATGTGTATCGTAACACCAGTCACATATATAGCTTTATTGTATCGTAACACCAGTCACATATATAGCTTTATCATTTCACAATATATAATGTGGACATAAAAGTACTTTATAAAATGAAAGATTGATATATGATTTAATTCTTTCTATGCATGATTCATTTCAAGTGGTGGAAACTCTTTACAAGTATCATAGAAATCGAATAAAGACTTAACAAAAGTGTGAGTGTGTGATTCAATTCTTCTGGTTAGCCTGATGTCGACTTGGTTCAGCCGGTTAAGAGTTGGTTTGGTAATTGATTACTGGTTAAGTATCAATTGAAGAGATGAAGATTGGTTTGGGAAGTTGTCTGGTTTGCAAAAGGATTTGGAAGACTCCTTCTGGTTTAGAGGGTTTCTTATTTTCTATTTGCATCTTGTATAAATAGCCTCTCTCTGGTTCATTCTCTTGTATCGCAAATTTCTCATTCTTGTAAAAATCTCTGAAGGCTCTGTTCTTGAGCTCAAGAGAGAAACGATTGATTCTTCATAGTGGATTGCTGGATTGAATCTGGCCCCAGACGTAGATTCATCACACCGATGTTTCGAACTGGGTAAACAATTGTGTGTTGTCTCTTGTTCTTGCTTTTATCTTTCTGCGTTTGATTTTGGATTGAAATCTTGGAAAGTTCTTAAGCTTGAGCTGAATAGTGTTGTGGTTGAAGGTTCGTTGAGTCGTTGATTGTAACAGATTGGTATCAGAGCCTCAGGTTCTTGAGGGTTATGGCGAACGACGCGGGTAAGAACACGATCATGAAGGCTTCGTTTCAGGTCTTTAACGAGAACTCTGATTTCTCGCTATGGAAGACGAGGATGAAAGCTCATCTGGGTTTAGCTGGGCTTAAAGGTATCGTTGATGATTTCTCATTGACGAAGACAGTTCCTCTTACTAAAGCTGAAGGAAAGAAGATTGAGGAGGGTGACGATGTCACGGAATCATCACAAACAAAGGAAGTCCCAGATCTTGACAAGATTGAGAAATCGGAACAAGCGATGAATAGAATAATCGCTCATGTAGGTGATGCGGTGTTGAGGAAAATTGATCACTGTAAGACTGCAGCTGAGATGTGGGAGACATTGAACAAGCTATACATGGAAACCTCTCTTCCTAATCGGATCTATGTACAGCTTAAGTTTTACTCATTCAAGATGAGTGATTCAAAGACCATTAATGAGAATGTGAACGAATTCTTGAAGATTGTTGCTGAATTGAGCAGTCTAGAGATTGTGGTAGGTGAAGAAGTTCGTGCAATTCTATTCTTGAATGGTTTGTCATCTAGGTACTCGCAGTTGAAGCATACTTTGAAGTATGGGAATAAAGCATTGTCATTGCAAGATGTTATCTCCTCTGCTAAATCGTTGGAAAGAGAGCTGGATGAGTTACAAGAACTTGAGAGAAGCCCTTCCACGGTACTATACACCACTGATAGAGGTAGACCACCTGTTAGAAACAATCAAAAAGGAGGTCAGGGTAAAGGCAGAAGCAGGTCAAATTCAAATTCAAGACTCACCTGTTGGTTCTGTAAAAAGGAGGGACATGTTAAGAAAGATTGCTATGCTAGAAAAAGAAAACTAGAGAATGAAAGTCAGGGAGAAGCTGGGGTTATCACTGAGAAGCTGGTGTTTTCAGAAGCACTTAGTGTGCATGATCAGCTGGTTAAAGATTTGTGGGTTCTTGATTCTGGATGTACATCTCACATGACTTCCAGAAGAGACTGGTTTTGTGACTTTCAAGGAAAAGGGTCAACAACAATCTTACTCGGTGATGACCACTCTGTGGAATCTCAAGGACAAGGATCCATCCGAGTAAAAATGAATGGAGGATCTATTTCAGTATTAAACAATGTGAAGTATGTGCCAAATCTGAGAAGAAATCTCATCTCTACAGGGACATTAGACAAGTTGGGATATCAACATGAAGGTGGAGCAGGCAAAGTAAGGTACTTCAAGAATAATGTGACAGGTTTAAGTGGAAAGTTGGTTAATGGACTTTACATACTTGATGGTGAGACTGTAATGCCAGAGAAATGTAGTGTTGCTGAGACAGTGAAGAAGACTGCATTGTGGCATAGTCGTTTAGGTCACATGAGCCTCAACAATTTGAAGGTGTTAGCAGAAAAGAAATTACTGAATGGAAAAGAGATTAAAGAGTTAAGCTTTTGTGAGCACTGTGTGATGGGAAAATCGAAGAAGCTGAGTTTTAATGTAGGAAAGCATAATGCAGAAGATGCTTTGAGCTATGTCCATGCTGATCTATGGGGATCATCAAGTGTTTCCTCATCATTGTCAGGTAAACAATACTTCCTGTCTATTATTGATGATAAGACTAGGAAAGTTTGGATATACTTCCTTAAAACTAAGGATGAAACCTTTGATAAGTTCTGTGAATGGAAGGAGTTAGTTGAAAATCAGCTGAATAAAAGAGTTAAATGTCTTAGAACGGATAATGGTTTGGAGTTTTGTAATATTAAGTTTGACACTTATTGCAAAACTCATGGTATTGAAAGACATAGGACATGTGCTTATACACCACATCAAAATGGTGTTGCTGAAAGGATGAATAGAACCATTATGGAGAAAGTTAGATGTATGTTGAATGAATCTGGTCTGAATGAGAGTTTTTGGGCTGAGGCAGCTGCTACAGCAGTGTATATCATAAACCGTTCTCCATCATCTGCAATTGATCACAATGTTCCTGAAGAATTGTGGTTGAATAGAAAACCAGGGTATAAACACTTACGGCGATTTGGGTCTGTAGCTTATGTTCATCAGGATCAAGGAAAGCTCAAGCCAAGGGCTTTGAAAGGAATATTCTTAGGCTATCCAACATGCACCAAGGGATACAAAATCTGGTTACTAGAGGAAGAAAAGTGTGTTATAAGCAGAAATGTAATCTTTCAAGAGGAGGTTGTCTACAAAGACCTAAAAGAAAAGTCTGATGAAACAGAGAAAGAACAGGGTGAAGCGTCTATATCAGGTAGTGTTGTGATGCCTAACGTGGTAACAATAACAGGCAGCATTGAGCAAGGTGGAGTAACCTCTGTACCAGAAGCTACTGTTGATATTGAATCAGATGAAGAAAGTGGTGAATTAACCACCACAAGTCAGTCTCCTGAGAAAACTGGTCTCACTGACTACCAACTGGCTAGAGACAGGCCTCGGAGACAAATGGTACCTCCAGTTAGAATGAAAGACTACTCCCAGATTGCTTTTGCTTTGATGACATATGAAATACTGAATGTTGAAGAGGAGCCTCAATGTTATCATGATGCAAAACGAGACAAAGACTGAGAAAAATGGAATGGTGCTATGGGTGAAGAAATGAGTTCTTTGTTAAAGAATGGCACATGGATACTAGTTGATAAGCCTGAAGATAAAAAGGTAATTGGGTGTCGATGGTTATACAAGTTGAAACCTGGTATACCTGGAGTAGAGGCTCAGAGATATAAAGCAAGGCTTGTAGCGAGGGGGTTTACTCAACGAGAAGGAATAGACTATCAAGAAATCTTTGCACCAGTTGTAAAGCATGTCTCAATTCGGATTCTGACGTCTGTGGTTGTGAATTTGGATCTTGAACTAGAACAGATGGATGTAAAAACGGCTTTTCTGCATGGAGACTTGGAAGAAGAGCTATACATGGAACAACCTGAAGGTTATGAGACACCTGAGAACAAAGGCAAGGTATGTCTCCTAAAGAAATCTCTGTATGGGTTGAAACAGGCACCTCGCCAATGGAATAAAAGATTTGACAGGTTTATGTCAGAAGAAAAATTTGTGAGAAGTGCACATGATCAGTGTGTGTACATCAAGGTGATCAGTGAAAAGGAACATGTCTACTTACTTCTGTATGTTGATGACATGTTGATTGCTGCCAAGGATATGTCAGAGGTAAACAAGCTTAAACAAAGGCTTAGTGAAGAATTTGAGATGAAAGACTTAGGGGCAGCCAGTAAGATTCTTGGGATAGAGATAACAAGAGATAGGAGCAAAGGAGTGTTATGTCTGTCTCAGTCAGGTTACTTGGAAAAGGTACTTGAAAGATTTAATATGAGTGGGTGTAAGTCTGCAAAATCACCTATTGGGTCTCATTTTAAGCTAGCATCAGTAAGAGATGAGTCAGAATGCATTGACACTGAGAAGACTCCTTACTCAAGTGCAGTAGGAAGTGTTATGTACTCAATGATTGGTACACGACCTGACTTGGCTTATGCATTAGGCCTTGTTAGTCGTTTCATGAGTAAGCCTGGGTCAGTTCACTGGGAAGCAGTCAAGTGGTTACTGAGATACATAAAGGGCTCTAAAGATTTGAGTCTGGTATATACAAAAGGTAAAGATCTCAGTGTTGTTGGTTATTGTGATTCTGATCATGGTGGTGATCTTGACAGGAACAGGTCCATTAGTGGATATGTATTCACAGTGGGTGGAAATACAATCAGTTGGAAATCATGTTTGCAGAATGTAGTGGCTCTGTCATCAACTGAAGCAGAGTTTATATCTTTAACTGAAGCTGTGAAAGAAGCAATATGGGTTAAAGGATTGCTTGAGGATTTTGGTTTTCAGCTGGATAAGGCACAAGTATGGTGTGATTCACAGTCTGCAATATGTTTGTCAAAGAACAGTGTGTTTCATGAAAGGACGAAGCACATGGCTTGCAAGAGGTCATTTCTGAGTGACATTATTGAAGATAGTGATATTGAAATTGTGAAGATTCACACTTCTAGTAATCCTGCGGATATGTTGACTAAGTGTATCCCTGTAAACAAGTTTGAGTCAGCTTTGGAGTTGCTAAAGCTGATCAGATGGGAATGAGCTGTGTTGCTTGTTTTGCTGGAGGTTAAATCCATGGATAGCAATGTACTATGTTGAAGAAGAATAGAATCAAGGTGGAGAATTGTGAGTGTGTGATTCAATTCTTCTGGTTAGCCTGATGTCGACTTGGTTCAGCCGGTTAAGAGTTGGTTTGGTAATTGATTACTGGTTAAGTATCAATTGTAGAGATGAAGATTGGTTTGGGAAGTTGTCTGGTTTGCAAAAGGATTTGGAAGACTCCTTCTGGTTTAGAGGGTTTCTTATTTTCTATTTGCATCTTGTATAAATAGCCTCTCTCTGGTTCATTCTCTTGTATCGCAAATTTCTCATTCTTGTTAAAATCTCTGAAGGTTCTGTTCTTGAGCTCAAGAGAGAAACGATTGATTCTTCATAGTGGATTGCTGGATTGAATCTGGTCCCAGACGTAGATTCATCACACCGATGTTTCGAACTGGGTAAACAATTGTGTGTTGTCTCTTGTTCTTGCTTTTATCTTTCTGCGTTTGATTTTGGATTGAAATCTTGGAAAGTTCTTAAGCTTGAGCTGAATAGTGTTGTGGTTGAAGGTTCGTTGAGTCGTTGATTGTAACAAAAAGAAAAATCAATGGAAGTTCTTGCTTTGGTATTCAAAGTTTTGTGTCTTCTCACAACTTAGTGGATCAGTCACATAAAGTATACGTAAATTACGTCTAATAATATATGGACATTTATAAGGTGCATATTAATTATTCTACAAGTTTTGCATCACATTTGAATTATTTGTAGATCGCGACTAATCATCTACCGTGGACGTGAAAGCACCCCAACACATTTAGGATCAAGCTAAGTGGCATGGATATTGCAGTTTCACGACAAAAAAAAAGAAGAAGATAATTAGATAAATAATTTATATCGACGATTTCAGTCACTCTCAAATTCACAATTTAGCATGCATATACAATTTTAGAAAATTTTTGTGTTGATTAACGTATATCTAATATTATTGATGATTAGGGTTAATTTAAGACTTTTGGGAATTGCATCTACTGTAGTTGTATATTATATAGTCACCTAAAAAAAATATTATATAGTCACTTCGTTTGAATCATTTGGATACAGCTTGCGCATTTAGTTTCTTATAATAGTTTTATATCTAGATTAGGCGTGCATGTTTATATATTTATAAATGGGCAGACAAATATCTGAGACCATATATATTGATCATCATTGTTTGTAAGAGTCAATTTGACAGATAAGCTAACGATTGTATAAAGTCTCTGAACTTTCTGCCAGTTACCTACTAATCTCCCACTATCCCCATTTGCTAATTTAAAATTACTATCATTTTATGCGAAGTCTTAGTAATACAACGATTTATTGTAATAAAATTGACTGTAAAATATATGTTATAACCATTATTTGTAATTGTAAACCTGGGAATACTAATATAGTAATATGGTATTTCTTGTATTAGGAATCAATACTGGATTAGAATATATTAGTCTTTAAATATATAAATTTTTGATATATTATTTAAACATTTCTGAAGATATTAATTATATTCTAAATTTTCTAGTTTCTAGTATTATCTCCAGGTTATTAGAACTTATTGTATTTCAATTAGCTTAAGAATATAAATAAATTAAAAAACTGAGTAGTCAATTTTTATTTATTTTTATTTTTTTTTGAGTAGTCAAATTTTGTTTTCGAGTTCTCAAAACTTTCTTAGGATATTGGATGGATGCATGCCAAAACATAATATATATATATAGTTAAAATAAATTATATATATTGATTATGGTATAAATAACAAAGTAGTTGGCAGACCTTTTGTTTAATGGGTTTGTCTAGATGATACCATATACTCTATTCGGGCTCATATCCAAAGGTTTGCAATTTGTAATTGTGTGATATATTGAAAATGTATGTTTACCTTGTTTATCTAGAACATAATCTATGAAGAAATTTTAGAGTTTTTGTATTCGAATTTATTTCAAAGCAAGTGTGCAAGTTAGCAAGCTGAAGTTTACATCGAAAAAGGTTTATTTAATCGAGATTGTCAAAATTGGGTGCATTTAGTTCAAAGAGAGATGGTCCAACCATTGGGTATGTAACAGTGCAAGCAAAAAATAACACTCGAATCAAAACTTATGGGCATATAAATTAGAACACAACAATGATTTGACAAGACTAAACATCAAAGGACCGTCGAATCTTGTGGTCATCTCAATTGTTTGTTTGAGCAACACATCGTTGTTCTTGGGCATGAAACCCTTTCTCGAAAAAACACACATTATTCTTGGAATGGAACTTTTCCACCGTATTATAGCCCTAATATGCGATGATAATTAGACCAATTAAAGATTACAAATATGCTTTATATAACTTCCTCATACTTAAACAATTCGGTCATGTAAGAATATAATTTTTTTTTGATAACTGCAAAATTTGGATCAAAACTTCCTAATCTCTCGAGGCCGATACTCAGGCTATAGACCATTTCCTTTGAAAGTACTCCTTTTCCTAAGTAGACTCTAATCCATGACCTCTTTATTAGTGTTTTTATTCTTTTTTAAAAAAACGAGAAACTGAAGCAAATTGTTTATTCGTTATATTTACGAAGCTAAGATCAATATAGAGTACGAAATACGATATACTATATTATATTTAGTGGCATATGTAAATATATGTTTACGTTTCTTTTCTAAAACATAATCCAATGAAAAAATCTTTATTTTGCCACTAAAGAGAATCAATATTGAATGTTTGTTTAATATTGTATGTACGTAAGAGTATGATATGTCGTCACTACAAGAAAATAAGGTATTGATAGCAAAATAATATAACGTTTAATGTCTATTTGCTATGATTGGCATATCCTTAAGTTTTAGATAGCGTTTGTAAAATGCAAACGCTATATTTGGTTGGTCATATCTTAATTTTGGAATCGCATTTTAGAATTGTAAAAAGCATAGCACTGATACGTTTTGAAACGTTATGTAATGTTGAGATAGATAAAATAATTTATTTGCCACCTAAATACTTAGTGAAAAAAAAGAAGCGGCTACCAATTTTTATTCTCCCTCTTACCCTCGTTTACTCTCTCTCCATTGTTTCATTTCTCAAGCTTTTTTTCTCACTCTGATACTCATCGAACTCCCTTCCTCTTTCTTCATCAATTCGCCAAATTAAGAACTATGGTTCTTCTTCGAATTTTTGCCACTTATGCCACTTTTGACGAAAAAAAAATCTGGCATGCCATCAAATAATCTGCATGCCACCGAGAATGTGAACTGACCAAACTACCCTTAATGAAAGAAGGAAAAAAAAATCGAAAAAGAAAAAAGAAAAACATTTATCTCCTCTCTCTCTCTCCTCTCTCGTCCTTCTCTCTCTCTCTCCTCCGAACCCGCGTCGTTCTTCTCCTCCGCCACAGCTCCGAACTTCGACATCGCCGATCTGCAAGTACGGTTGAACGGACGCCTCCTCCTTCTCGAAATCGGTTAGTTTCTTGTCATGTATCCTCTTTTCATTGCTGCATTGATTGATTTGTAGGTAATTTAAGAGTATTTTGGAAATCTTTAAAATTAGGGATTTGAATGAGAATTGGGTTTTTTTGGAAGAATCGATAGTATATTGACGAATGGAGGTATAGGCATTGGTTAGAATCGAGTGTAGCCCGTACATTGTTGAATGAAGTCACATTTTAAGTAGAATCGAGTCAGATCTCAGTCAACTGGTATAGCTAAGAGAAAGTTCTTACAGGGTACAACTACGTTTACGTATTCAACTGGTACAACTGATAGACTATAGACCAACTAGTACAACTGATAGTTTGTAGGTCAGCAGGTACAACTGATAGGCCAACGGTACAACTATGTTTAATTATTCAACTGGTACAACTAGAATATTTGTTTCAAATGGTGTATGTGCTATTTTTAATTGCTGTATTTTGAAGATAGTACCCTCCATAGTCAACTGGTACAACTGATAGTATGTAGGCCAACTGGTACAACTGATAGTATGTAGGCCAACCGGTACAACTAGTATAACAGTGGAAAATGGTGTATGTGCTGTTTTTGATTGTTGTATTTTCAGGATAGTACCCTGCATAGTCAACTGGTACAACTGTTAGAGTATAGTCCAAATGTATAGGCCAACTGGTACAACTAGTATAACTGTGACAAATTGTGTTTGTAATTATGTTTTAAATTGTTGTAATTACAGGAGGCGATGAAGAAGAAGAGCCATACTAACGTACATTTTGACTATGGAGGGTACTATTCAGAAGGGAATGAGTGGATTTATAAAAATTCACTATACGCTATATCGTTTAAGACGGCATGTTTAGAGAAGATAACTTATTCGGTGCTATTAGATAAGATCACTACGAAGGTTGGCCAGAATGGAGTCCCTGGGAATCTGAGACTGAGTTACAATCTATCTAAAGCTCGGAGAGAGACATATATTGTAGATGATGAGGACGTATACATTTTTTTAACAGAATGTGATGAAGAGGGTCGTATTCCAGTTTTGCATGTGGAGCTATTAAGTGACAATAACCAGAGGGTGGAAGTGTTAGTACCGGAGCGTCGAAGTTCAGTTGGTGTGAATTATGTAGAGCTAGTGAATGTGAATGAAGGTTTGGAGAATGATGTGAATGAAGTTTTGGAGAATGATGTGAATGAAGTTTTGGTGAATGATGTGAATGAAGTTTTGGTGAATGATGTGAATGAAGTTTTGGTGAATGAAGATATGGTGAATGAAGTTATGGTGAATGAAGTGTGTGAGAATGTGACAGGTATGGAAGTTGTGGCTGTGGAAAGGTCGATGGATAACCATTTGGATGAAGATGTGGATGGTATGTTTGATTTTGATGATATTCCAGCTATTCCAAATCGTGTAAAAGGTACTCCAAAGAATATAGAATGGGAAGATGGTACGGGTATAGAACTTTATCAAGAATTTTGTTCTAAGGAGGCACTATGGGAATTGGTAAACAAAGCTGCAAAACAATTAGTTTATGGGGTTTTAACAATTAAGTCTGACCCGTTGAGACTTATGTTACGATGCAAACAATATTCTCAAGGGTGTAAATGGTATTTACGAGTTGCGAGAACAAAGCAATCAGATTATTGGAGTGTTAGAGTGCATAGAAAGATCCATACATGCTCGCGGTCTGTTGAGTCTACAAGCAATAGTGTACAGAGAGGAACACCACGATTAATAGCAGCTGTTTTACATGCTGACTTTCCAGGTAATCTACAGACCCCAAATCCAAAAAGCATCATGTCTATTGTGACAGGAAGACTTGGTGTGCATTGTTCATACTCCACTGCATTAAGAGGGAAAATGCAGCATGTTAGTGAAGTGAGAGGTGGACCAGAAAAAAGCTACAAGATGTTGTTTTCTTATCTCTATATGTTAGAGAAGGTAAATAGAGGGACTGTAACAAGTGTGGAGTTGGAAGAGAAGAAGTTCAAGTACCTATTCATCGCTTTGGGAGCTAGCATTGAAGGTTTCAGGGCAATGAGGAAAGTGATAATTGTAGATGCAACTCATCTCAAAACTGTATATGGTGGGATGTTGGTTATTGCAACAGCTCAAGATCCTAATCATCACCATTATCCTCTTGCATTTGGTGTAATTGATGCGGAGAAGGATGATAGTTGGATTTGGTAACATTATAAATAATTAATGTGAGCAAAAACCAAAATTACACAAATCACTCTTTAGGTAACAAGGAACAATTAGTTCAAGATCATCTATAAAGATGGAAGAAGTATGGAAACTATGATTTCTGACAAATTATTCTATGAAAACTTCTTAAACACCAATATAATGTGGAAATTTATGTGAACAACTAGATATCTATGGTATTTTCTAAGGTTCAACTACAAAATTACAAATTTAGAAATAGTTCAACTGTGAGGAAATTAGGACAACTGAACATCTAAAGACAACTATGTAGAAAATCTATTTGTCGGGGGTCCCACAGAAATGTGTTCACACTAGTCTTTGACTAGTTTTTGACTCAAACCGGGCCCACCCCGTGATCTACTTTAATTCGAATCTTCTCATCCTAATAAGTCTACTCTCTCTCTCTCTCTCTCACATCTCGACTCCGATTCTTCTTCTTCTTCTTTTCTCTCTTCTTCTTCTCTCTTCTTCACGAGACCACCAAAAATTAGGGTTTTCAGACTTCTTCAAATTTTGCGAAATCTGGGTACTTCTCTCACATATCTTCTTCTCTCTTCTTCTTCTGTTATTGTAAACGAGAAACCCAAAAATTAGGGTTTTCAGATCTATTCTTCTTCTTCCTTCTCTCGCCGTTATAAGGTATGGCAATTCTCTTAGACTACTTCAATTTAATAGATCTGCTTTCTACTAATTCGGATTACTATGATTTAATTGATTTATGTTTGATTGAATGGTCAGATCTACTCATCTTCTAAACCGTAGATATGCCTTATAGTTACTCCCAACCCTCCACATCCGCAGAAAGTATCAATAGTGGAGGCCGAAATGCGGACGCCAATTATGGTGTTCCGAAGAGGTGTTTCTGCGGTTTAATGGTCAAGCTTGAGCGGTGTATAACAGGACAGCGACAAGGCGAGCGCGTATACATATGCCCATTGCTTACGGTATGGTTTAGTTGCAATTCTGGAACAACTAAGTACAACTTGCTGGTTTTGAACTTTTATATTCTTCCTAGGATGGAGACGAATATAAGGTTAATCGAGATCACCTAGTTCAGTGGTGGGATTGTGCGGTTACTGAGGAGCTGTCCAAGATAAACCTACGATTTGACGTTTTAACCTCTCTTGAATCTGCGAGGGCTGGATTTCCACCTGCTTTGGAGTCGATCCGAGAAACTCTTCGTCTTATGCGTGAAGAAATTGATGCCCTTAAAGCGAGGTTAGCCACAAAAGAAGTCGAGATTGCGAGGCTTAAGGGGTTACTTTCAAGTTGGTAATATTGTATGATTACCACCTAGTCTTTGTAATATTTGAATTTGTATTTTGGATATGGATTTGTGTTTTCATGAAGTCTTTTATTAGTAGTTGTACCTGCAGTAATGATAGTTGTAAGTTTTGTCCTACACAAAAGCAACCCATCATAAAGAGTGATCTCTCATAAAGATCACCTATTTCTTCTGCCGCTTCTTCCCCTTCCCCTTCCCCTCTGCTGTAAACTCTTCAGCCTGAAACCTGGAAGCCTTCCTTTGTCTCTTTTTCCCGGTCTGGATTGTAGGGCCACTATGCTTCGGCCTCACTGCTTTCTTCTTCTTGTTCTCCTTCTCTTTCCTAGCCAGCTGCTCCTGATCACCTTCATCACCTACACAACTCCAATGTTAGAACATGTATGTTACAATAAAAACTACAAAAATGTAAACTCACTCAATTCTTGAATTTGGATTGGCTTAGGGTCTGTGAAACCACTGTGAAGGACCAAAGCCTTTGTCGGACTCGCTATTGGTTGATTAGCAGTTGGTGTACAATAGGTTGGCACAAAATCACTTGAAGTCCCTGGATTATACTCATTGTACCGCTCTTTCTCTAGCTGGACTGACACATAACCCTCTAAGTCTTTCACTCTCCCATCCAACATACTCACTTTGCTATCCATCTCAGCCAACTTCTCCATGATCTTCGCAAATCCTTTGTCCACAGCTGACTGTAATGAGAGGATATCACCAAGCCTCTCAGGGACTTCACCATCACTTTCTTTAACATCACCAAGCCTCTCAGCCACTTCAGGGACAACATCACCAAAACCCCGAGCCTGCAAGTCCATCTGGTATAGACTTTTCCACCAGATTTTCTTCTTCTTTCTGATCAGCTGCTCTCTCCAACCTTCAACAACTGGATCAATAAATCCCATCCCTTCATCAACATATTTCTCAACAAGGCCAGACAACATCTCTTTCTCATCCATATCAGGTTCCAAGATGCTTGAGATTTCCTGTCAAATACACATAGCATCAATCTCAATACATATGCATACTAAGAGAAGTAAAGGCACCAAAAGCTAACCTTAATTTCACCAAGGGCTTGGTTTATTTCATCCAAGGTAAAGCCCTTCATGCAACTGTCAGTGAATTTAGATTTGCACATTCTTGGACAGTCATTAGCTGCGGGAACAGCTTCTCTGAATCGCCTTCCAAGCTGTGGTATGCACTCAAATGCAAAAATCTACACATTCACAATAACACAGTTTTACTACTATAACTTAAACACTCTAACTCATTACAATATTCACAAGTTTTTACCTCAAGAGGAGTGATGAAACCAAAAAAGCTGCTCTGTGCTTTTGGTTTCACCGAACCTTTCATGTTTTTCATCATTCTCCGGATCCCTGTCATACATTGCTCAAAAGAATACCTTCCCCACGGGAATGTCTCACAAGCATGAACATCATCAACAATCCTTAACAAGAATTTCTCTATGTTCCCATCACCCTTAGAATCAGCCTTCACAACCGCACATAAAAACAACAAAATAATCAACTTCTTTCTATCCAAACACTTCTCACTCTTAATAGCTGCCAACTTCTTTTCTACATCTTTGATTTTGATTAGGTCTGTCCTCCCAAACATCCTTCTGACAAACCTCAAACTACCCTTCTTCTCATGATTCTTTGGGTACTCATGGCAGTCCAACCCGGTCAACAAAGCATGCTCTTTCAAGGAGTACCTTATAGGCACTCCATTGACAACAAACCAACACTCATTCTCCATATCTGTGCGAGCAGTGCGAAGCATAAGCATCCACATGCCTTGAATCATGTGATTTGGTTCCTTAGGCATGTGGAATATATGCTTAAACTGATCATGATTCCTAAACCAACTAACTTCCTCATCAAATGCCTCTATCATGGCCACTGTTTGGCCAACTTTACACCTACTCCCTACCTTACATACCTTGTTGTACTCAGTTGGACTAAAGTACATGCTCTCTGGCGGCAATGGTTGGGATTCCTCATCATCATCATCCTCATCTGTATCAGCTGCAACATCATTAACCCTCTCCTCTTCCTCTTCCTCAGCAGCAATATCATCAACTATATTCTGCATATTCAAACATATACAACTGAGTACAACTATGTCTGTTGCTTACCTTTAACACACCATATACAACAAATACAAACTGTTACTTACCTTAACAACACCAGCAACATCTTCCTCCTCATTATCACCAGCAACATCTTCACCCTCAGCATCAATAACTCTCTCTTCTTCCTCGTTATCACAACCCTGACCATCAATTGACAACTCACAGACTTCTTTATCATGCTCATCGACTTCTTCTTCCTTTGACTCACTGGCTTCTTCTTTCTCTTCTTTATCAGACAATTCCGGAACCGAAGAAACTTCTAATTCTTCGGTGGTTACTTCTGCGGATTCCACTGTTGGAACAATTACAGCGGCATCCGTCGGTTCTTCTGTTGGAAGAACAGCGGCATCCATTGGAGCTTCTGTTGGAGAAGCGGCATCCGTCGGAGCATCTTTTGGAACTGCGGCGTCCGTCGAAGCTTCTGTTGGAACTGAAGCGTCCGTCGAAGCTTTTGTTGGATCCGGATTTGCAGCCCCTTCTGGAGACCCTTCTGTTGATTCATATACCCTGTTATCTCTACCTTTCACGCGAGCCATATAAGAACGAGACGAAGACACGCTGAACGGAGTCGGAGGAGACGAAAAGACAAACCACCGAGGAGGAGACGGAGGAGACGAATGACGGAGTACGAAGTTCCCACGCTAGAAGAAGACGGCGGAGACGACGATACGCCGGAGACAAAGAAAACGGATAAGAAGCGACGGAGATTCGCGACAGAGAGAACAGAGAGAACTCGGAGACGGCGGAGTAGTGAAAGAGATTTTTACGGTTTCAGTTTTACTTAGAGAAATTTTCAGAATTAGGGTAAATTTGGGGATTTTGTATGGGCCGGGTTATTTTCTTATGGGCTGGGTTCGGATTGTTTGGTTGGGTCGTAATTTACTTATTTTCGTCTGGGTTTTATGTAATTTACTCACTTTCTCGATTTAAAATTAATTCGATAATAAAAAGCAAACATAAGAGTGGCATAAGAGGTTACCGATTCTCGATTAGTGGCACAAGAGGTGAACTCTCTTCTTCTTCCACGAAATCCTTAACATAGATTCAAAAACAGATGAGTCATCTTCCTCTTCCCCCTTTTACTCTCCGTTGTGAACCCTAGCCACCGTCAAAGCAATTATATGGACTGTAGAAAGTATTAAAGTTAGGAAAACAATTACCTACCGATGACGTCGAACAGGCTAATCTGAACAGGCTAACCGATGACGTCGCTACCGTACGCCGATGCCGATTGTAGCCTAAGTGCTTTGGCTGGCCGTGCCGAGGGTTTCGGTCGCTTCTCCGTCGGTGGTCTCCACGGCGATCTCTACGTTGTCACCTCCCTTGCAGGTGATGTATTTCGTACGAATCTTCGAGCTTAATTCGTCTTTTTTTCTTATTGATTGTGATATGCATTTTGTTGATTGATTTGAGACACGGAATCAATCTGTGGCTGTTGTTGTATTCGAAGATCTTGAGATTGGTTATGTGTGAATTTTAGATGATGGACCTGGGACTCTTCGTGAAGGAGGTAGGAGTAAAGAGCCATTGTGGATTGTTTTTGCTGTTTCTGGAGCTATAAATCTCAATTCATACTTGAGTGTATCTTCTTACAAGACGATTGATGGACGAGGACAGCGAATTAAGCTTACGGGGAAAGGAATAAGATTGAAGGAATGTGAACATATCATCATTTGCAATTTGGAGTTTGAAGGTGGTAGAGGTCATGATGTTGATGATATTTGGATTAGCTGCTTATGCAATTTTGTCTCACTGGTTTCTTGTCTATCAAAACAACTGGCATAACCAATAACACTGTTACTTTGGTGTAGATTAATCGTTTTTTGTAGCCATATATCATGTGGCTCTCATTAGGGTTTGTTTTTGTCCTTTAGATTTGGGCTCTTCAGTCTGTATTTATTTCCTGTATGTATCTCACTCTCATGCCTCTTGCAGGCTATCCACGATGGATGGTATGAAGAAGCGTGCATCGTGTTGTTAATTGTCCTTGACATCATTGTGAGAGGTATCATAGTATTATAATTGATGCTCTTGAGTTGCTTAGCTAACTTGAAACTTGTCTTCGTACTTTAATTCTCAGACGAGAGAATATGGAAATATTCTGACTTATTTGTTTGTCTCCCATTTTACAGCTAGCACCGAATACATGCAGTCATGTCACCTTGAAAAGTTGACTGTGGAGAAGAGAAACGTACACCTATATGTGCGTTCCTGCAGACGGTTTTCTTCTTCATTTGTGTGTGGTGTTGCTCACAGTTTGTGCTGAACGTTTTTGGTTGCATGTGCCTAGAGATGGAAGAAGCGTCTGGGTTTTGATATTGTAACCCTCAAGAACGGTAGTCAGGTAAGCATCACACTATAGTAATCATTGTTTGGCTTCTTTATCTTGAGCTTCACAATTGGTCTGAATTGTGATCAATGTTGTAGGTACCTGCAGATGGTGTCCTGTTTCATGCTAAGTAATTGAAAATTGATGAGCAAGAAATAACTGGCCCACATGACATTGTATGATGTACCCCTGTTGATGAGCTATATCATTATCTCTCCTGTTTTTCTAATCTATCTTTACTATGAGCAGGTTCAAAAAGATCTTCAAATTGACCCATTCGTATTATCTGGTTCAAAACTAATAGAGGGCATAGGTACAATGCTGGTAAGCTCTTGAGCTACGTCTCTTAATTTCTTGTTTATGTTTGATACATATATATCATAAGTATTATAGCTCCTTTTAGTAAAGATGAGGTCTATGTTGAAAGTGATAAGCCATGTTTACATGGATGAGAATAGAACCATAATAGACTCTTTGTAACAAAAAATTCTGCATTGAAAGCTTTTTTGTGTTTCTGCATGATATTTACTCTGGTTTCACATGATGTTAATTTGCTCTAAAATTCTTAAAAAAAAAATGTCATGCAGAGGTTAATTAACAACAACAAGACTGTGAAGAAGATTCTGGACAGGAAGGTGCAGAAGTCAGACTATTGATGAGGCCTAACGATAAGCTCATGGTTTGAAGCAAGATAATGTTAGGAAGCTTAAGTTGAAACTTATGGTTGTGTGAAACATATAGAGTTATTTCGGTTTGGTTTTGAAACTAATATAGTCAAACGAGAGTTCTTATTTAATTGTATTATTCTTCATTAATTCAAATCGGATTGAAAATTACGTATAGCGCAAGAAACAAAAAAAAACCACAATATATTGCATAATACAAATGTTATTTTAGTGAAAATTAATTGCATATTTAAAAATGCTATTTTAAGTGAATAAATTGCATATTATAAATGCTATTCTAATTGATTGAATTGCATATAACAAATGCTGTAATTTGATAATTAATAACAAAATATATTCGCTATTAAACAATATTACATTGCATAAGAAAACACGCTATAATATGTAAACAAAATATAGCACCACAAAAAACCGCTTTCGGAAACCGTCGACCTATTATCATGGGCGCAGATATAACGCTTTCTACTCCGCTATCGTCTCGTTAGATAGCATTATTCGGACGCTAAGGATACTCAATTTTCTTGTAGTGCGTAAATATATGTTTACATTGTTTTTCTAAAACATAATCCATGAAATACATAAAATGTTTTTTTTTATACGAGTTGATATCAAAAGTAAGTGTACAAATTAGCAAGCTGAAGTTTGAAAATAAAATAAAAACTATTGGAAAATATTATATGGTGTTCCATGAAATAAGCCCAAACTTTCACATTATGAATCACTTTTTTACCAAAAGCTTAATCGTCCTAAACATGTGTGTTAATGTAATAATAATAATAAAAAGTGTGTTTATGTTGTGTCCATGGAAAGTATACATTAGAAAATGGAACAATATATTCTAAATTTACTTTGATTCTTTATTCTTGTTTCTTTTGTATTTGATATCTCAATTTTATAAAATAAAAACAAACTATAGTTATTTATTTTCTAAGTGCATATAGAGATAAGTAAGTGGAATGTTATATTTGTAATCTATTGCGTGAGACACGGAGTAGTGATGGCTGGAGCATATATGAGATCAAAGTGCAACACTAAGGTCACAATCATTGAATTTGACACTCTCTAGTCTGTCTTCCAATCTCTCTATCAATCGCTTAATTTTTTATAAAGTCAGGATGCCACTGAAAATATACTTCTTCATTTTATATATCGGATTATTGGTGCAGAGTGAGATGTTACAACTTATATTATACACATGTGCACTACTAGTTTCCGGGGGAAAAAAGCCCTTTTGGACACCTATAGTTTTTAAAATGCATTTTCAGACCTTTACAAACATCTAATGCTAATTTGTATCCAAACGCCAAAAAGTTTACATTACATATTCCAACTTTCAAATTTATGTGTATCCTAGAGTCATCATTAACGAATATTGGTGAACCGTTACAGATGTTAACTCAACTGACATGCGTATGTCGAGATAACATTTTTGTTTCGTAAAACAACGTCGTTTTCAGAAATAATTTTGAAGAAGAAAATTATACTGAGGAATTTTGTTAAAATACTATAAATTATTGTTGATTGTTGAAAAGCACATCATTTTAATATCTTTTTTGAAACCTACTCTTTTCCATGTATTCATTTACTAAGATATTCTCATTAAAAATTAATAACTACTAATTTATCCAACACTTAAAAATGGCAAAACCAAAACATTTGAAGATTTTTAAAATATTAAGTCAATAACACATCTCTATCTCAAACAATAATAATAGTTTATTTGCAATTTTTTAGTCTATTAAAGATGTAAAAATTCCATTAAAGCTAAAAATGTCTTATCATATAAAAGTTAGTTTTGAAAACAAACTATTAGTTTAATTTTTTTTTATATAAATGCATTTTATAAAGGATCCTAATTGTATATGTAAGGCTTAATACCATAGTTTAAAATAAATACAAAAAAATTCTTCATTTCTTGTCAAAAAAATATATTTAGATTAAAAAGATTCATAAATTCAAACCCGGTCAAAACAATCCAAATCCAGAGCTGAACTAATTGTTTGGATTGAATCCCAAATCAGGTCTAAAATCTCATAATATGTTTTGCTCATCTATCATGTTACTCAATTATGTTTGGACAAAACAAAAGCCTCAAAAAGAATTAGTAAAATAAAAATAAAAATGGTCATTAAAAATTTTCAATTATATCCACTAAATTGGGATTTTAATCGACAAGATCATGCGTTGGACCTACCTAGCTACAATGTGTATCAATTGAACCATACTTAAATGGTTTTAAACAAATATTTGCTTCACTACTCCTCAACTCCCACACATTGAGATCGGAAAAAATGTCATTTAATTCTCCAACTTTCAAATTGTAGCCATTTTATACATGAATTTCATAGTTGGCCATTTTAAAAATCAACTAAACGTTGCCTGCCGTAATAAACATGAGATTGCGTTGAACTGGCCAATATAGACATGACGTTAAAATCCGATAACGGAACCATTAACAGCTGTTATCAGCCGTTAACTATTATGTTAGTCAAATCGCCAACTTTTAAATTTAGGCCATTTTAAACATGAACTTATTTTAATCATCAACTAAACGTTGACCTGGCCAAAAAAGACATAGCGTTAAAATTTGCTAACATTGTCTAATGTCTTACATTCATCTCTCTTGATCTAATTTTTTTATCATTGTCTAATGTCTTACGTTCACCTCTCTTGATCTCACCATTCGTCTGCACACTAGTAACCAAGAACAAATTTCTCATTTTTGGTTAATAGTGTCTTTGGTGTTTGGTTTGTGTTTGGTTCTTTGTATTCTGTTTTCTTTTGTCTTAGTTTTGTTGTTCGTTAACGATAGATAACAGTTGTTAGTGGTTATGTTAGTATATTTTAACGTCATGTTTTTTTGGCCATGTCAACGTTTAGTTGATGATTAAAATGGCCTCAAACGAAGTTCATGTTTAAAATGGCCTAAATTTGAAAGTTCGTGATTTGACTAACAGAATAGTTAACGGCTGATAACGACTAGTAGTGGTTCCGTTATCGGATTTTAACGTTATCTCTATATTGGCCAGGTCAACGCAGTCTCATGTTTAATACGGTAGTCAACGTTTAGTTGATGTTTAAAATGGCCTACTAGAAAGTTCATGTATAAAATGGCTACACTTTTATTGTTTCTAATATATCATGATATTACGACAAAATAAAATGCCATCACGTAAAGGATTTTGACCCATGGGTTCAACGCGCAAATCCTTTTTTTCTATATCGCTTACCAACTGCAACCAACCCTAAAAAATCTGATATATCTCTTTGGTTCACGACGATTTTAGCTGGTGACTGGAGAAGGATCTCCTCCCCTTTGATTTAGCCGATCTGAACTTCAAGCAAGGTAATTGTGGGAGATTTCAATGCATTTAACGTTTCTTTCCTCAACCTCTCCAACACGAGTCCTCCGCTTGAGAAAAATTTGGTGGTGGCGGCAAGAAGAGTTTCCTTTTCCCGGTAGTCAGAGCTCCATTATATGATTCTAGTCCTCGTGAAGTTTAGGCTTGTCTCCCATCCTTGGGTTTCATGGCTGGGTGGTGGTTTCTTCTCTCTGTAAAACTACAACATGGTGATAGTGGCGCGAAGACGAACATCTCTTGCCAGCTAGCAAAGGTGGCGGAGCTCCTCGCCGTGATTAACCTCCAAATAGTCTTCTCCCTTCAGACAATGAAGTTGCTCCGAGGACGGTAACTCAGATTCTTTAAAGAGCATTACGTCAAAGTTTTTGATGAGGCGAGACTTCATCCTTTCTGTTTTGGCTATGACGAAGCATTCATTACAGTGAGTTTGTTTGGTTCCCGTTTGGTCTACGATCTGAGTGGGTTGCAGTCTCTCGGTGTCTGCAACTTTCTCTGTCGAAGTCTCAACAAGGATTGCTCTTGGTGATGGTTGGCTCGTGGTGTATGGTTTCTGGTAGCTCGGCTTTCTCCGAGTAGGGACTAACGGATCTAGGCCTAGATCCGTATAGTGGGGGCGCCAGATTCTCTGGTTGCACAAATGCTGCTATCTGGCTTGACCTAATTTTGGCATCGATTTTGGCTTCGTGGGCCTCATGCCGAGTGTGAGTCTCATAAGCTTATTTCTTTGTTGGGCTTGTTTCTCCTTTTTGGGGCTTTGGCTTTTCTTCTTTTCTATTTTTATTTTCGGTAACCATCTTGTAAGGGCTTAGTCCATTTTGTTTTGTGTCCACCTATGCTTTTAAAATATTAACAAAAAGTAAAAACTCTTTGGCAAAATATATATAGATGCACCAATTACCAATCATTTTTAGAACTTATCAATCAAAGTCACTAGCTAGTTTGTAACAGATTTACGATGAGTAAAAGTCGTCACAAAATATTTTTGTTAATATCAGGTAATTTAAAGTTAAATCGAAGAAGTAGTTAATGTATTACAATGGTTTATTGCGATAGATTCTAATCATTGCGAACTCTTTGTTAAATTGTGGTTATTTATTAATGAGTAATCAATTTTTATTTTTTTAACAAGTATTTAACGAAACGTTTTCATTCTTTAATTATGGAAAGTAGAACTAGGTAGTAGCTAAAATTAGAGGTAATTTTAACGTTTTAAGAATAAATATAATCTTTACAGAACACATGAACAACACATTTTCTATGAAGCGTTACTCAAAAAGGTAACATCACTTTTTGACCACCGACTTAAAAAAGTATATGAATTTTTAGTGCTGAAATGTAAATACACATAAGTCGGCATTTTTAACTAAAAACTAAGAACAAGAATCCAAATTTTTTTTTTCCAATGTATTACAAAATGTAAAGACAAAATTAAATATCATCACAAATGTAACATTTGCCAATCGTTTTTAAAACTTATTAATCAAAGATCAATGGATAGTTTATAACATATTTATGACGAGTAGAACTCGTCACAAATGTTTTTTTGTTAATATCTGATGTGTAAAGTTTAAACCGAAGATGTAGTTACTGTGTTCTTCAACGGATTTTATAATGGTCTATTGCGATAAAATGTAATCATTGCAAGGTCTTTGTTAAATGGGGGCATTTGTAGCTTTTTTGTGCCCTTTTTCAAAAATACAGTCTCCTATTATTTTATTTTTTTTAGACAAAAGCAGTAGTTTTCATTCATTCATATCCACGGAAATACAAAGTTCAAGAGTTCTACAAATTCTGAGCTTACAACATCAAACATACATATATCTAGAGAAGCAACATAATGATAGATAGGATAAGCCGACAAGGAAGCCCAAAAATCTCAGAGATAAGGGTTGGAACATAAATTGTCACATGCGAGAAGATGCTAAGTCGGAATCACGACCATGAACACATCGGGAAGTGAGAGATTAGTCACGGTCAATAGACATAGTGACGTTGAAGACGTTTCCAAAACCTTGAAACTCGCTGGTATGAGAAGCATTACTTGAAGTAATACAATGGTTAGGAAGTCAAGTTGCATTCCTATCTTAAAAGATGGAAGCCGAAGACAGTAAGTTGTAACAAAGGTTCTCTCCATAAAGGAGGAAGAGGAATACACTACTCCATGAAGGAGGACGATTGGAGCAAAGGGTTCTCATAATTCGAGGAATAAAGATAAAGGAGACCCTTAAGGTCGGATAGATGTCAGTTGGAGGATCTAGTATTTGGTTTGGGATCTCTTAGAACATGTTCAATGAGCGTTTGAGGGAACTGGATCCGAACTAGTAGCGTGTGGCTAGTTAGGAGATGATTTTGCTTGAGATTGGTGGAGCTGTAACTCGATAAAGCATATGAAAGAGCATGTTTTTGACCATAGCCACACCAAAACCAAATCAAATTGGATGCACAGTATTGATCTTCAAGCTTATACATACATGAGATATAATCAAAGATGAACTTTGGTCTAGGGTTTGTATTTGATAATCGCAGAGCCATAGTAACGCTGTGGACACATGCCACGAATGGTGTCCTCGGCCAAGCAAAGAAATAAGTCGGAGCATTATACTTAAATGGCTTAACAATATGTTATATAAAACAGACCTACGCCAAGTAGATATAGAAGTTGAGCCACAAGTTTTGGAGCTGGGCCTAAATGGGAGGCATAGTGGGCCAAAATAAGAGAGGCTCAATAAGCTAAACCCTAGGTTTTCCTTGGTTGGTTGGAAGGAGATGAGTGTGGCGGCTGGCCATCGATGAGCTAGATTGGTTGAGAAATGATTCTTAATTAATTGGAGGATGGGTCGACGACGAAAGGATTTGCAAGAGTTCTCCTAAGATAACCCGTGAAAGTTACAGATCTAGCGGATTTGTGTGGGTCGGTGAGACAAATCTCAGATTTTGAAGATTGATATCTTGTGTTTTTGCTCCATTTTAAACTTTGTTTCTCTTAGTTTTTCATCATTTTGCGTTCATGTTTAGGTCCTTAGGTGCATATTTGCTTTGCATCTCTTACTTTTAGGTTCTTGGAATGGAGCATTGAGTTTTGGAAGCAAATGGAGTTAAAAGAAGTGAAAAATCAAAGAATCAAGAAGAGGATGACAAGTTGGTCGATTGGGACCAAACCTGCAGACCCGCAGACGAGAGGGAGTCGAGGAAGCAGTTGACCAGTTGGTCGATTGCTTGGTCGATTGACTGGTCGATTTCCTTGTTGATTGGGTGCTTAAACCTGGTCAAAACTCGGTTTGTTCTGGGTTGACCTGGTTTGTTTTCTTTCTCTATAAATATGTTCTAAACCTAATTTCTAGATCCCTCATGCTGCCTAAGCCTAGTTTTCTTAATTTCTCTATGTAATCAACTTTAAACATTTGTGATTCTTGCTTTTATATAAGTATTTCTTTAGATTCAACTTCTATCTATCTCTTATACTCTTTTTCTAACATGAATCTTCAAGGATTAATGTCAACTCCTTGGATTTTCATGGCTTTAAGTGAGTAGTCTTCTTAGAGCTTTTGGGTCAAGTAGATTAGGGTGATTAGTTGATGATTTGTGATGCTTAGGACTTAGTCTTAATATATCCTTACTCTCCAGGGGCTCTTCGTGCTAGATTAGTCTTGATTAAGCTAGTCTAGATCATAGGAAGTTTCATGCCCGGAAGGTGTTCGATAAAATTCCCGAAAGAACTTAGTGAGTTCTTAGCATTCCTAACCAATGAAAATTGATGATTAGAGTGCTAGGTAGTTAATTAGGCTTGAAATTAATGCATATTAGTCTTGTGATTGCCAATAGAAATTGATGTTAATTGCTTGATTAGTGTAGAGTTATTGTCATGGAAGTGGATTAGCTTCAATTAGTGATCCCAGACCTATGGATTAGCAATGATTGATTGTATTAACATCGTAGATTATCCTTTGACCACCCAAGTCAATAACCTTAACCCATAGGCTTATTCATTTAGCATTTTCGTCTTCGATTTTTGTTGACTTTCGTTGAGTTTTTGTTGACTTTTATAAATTGCATCTTTCTCATTTATTTTGCTATTGCTTTATGCTTATGGGTTAATGCTTAGCTTAGACATTGGTTTAGCTTTGTGAATTGCTTTTGGGTTGTCTATTTCATTTGCATCTTAGTTTCTTTTGTTTTCATTTCACTTAGGTTGTTAGTTTAAAACCAATCCTATATTTGCTTAGATTAGGAAATTTTGTGTATTCTTATTTCTTTAGATCTCTAGTTCCCTGTGGATTCGACCCTTAAGTGCTATATACGATAACCATTAGATTGTGGTTTTTCGACTTAAAGGAAATATTAATTGATAGAAAGCCTCATAATCAATTTTTTTTCTTTCTTCTTTTTCCCAAACATAATCCCAAATATTCAATCTAACCACCTAACTCTTTCATTCCCGACCTAGTAGCTAGTCAAAAATGTTCCAAAAGCTAGCTAAAACAAGAGAAAAAACGTTGTCGTTCTCAATACTCTGAAGATTTCATAATCTATAGCATTTTCAAACAAGAGGCCACACTCACAATATAATCAATCATATGCTTGAAAGAAAAGGTTAAGGTTTAGGGTAAGGGAAACTATTCTAAAGGTGAGAATGGTCATTCGGGTTTACAAAAGAGTGGCGAAGTGGATAAGAAAACTCGAATGAGTCTTTTAGACAACTATGCAAATGCATTTAAAATCCATATGCGAGAAGATTAAAATCAAATTAAGTTCAAATTCATAGAGATGTTTCAAAGTCATGTAAGCTTCACACAAGTAGAAATTGCTTTCGAAAAACGCAAAGGTCTAAGTATGGATTTTCCATTTTTTCCAAGATGATCAAGCAACGATTAACTATGATTAAGGACTTTAAATTCAATCCTAAGCTTGAATTTCTACAAGGTAATTAAATCATTATCCCCTATGCATATTCAAATGCAACTAAATGTTTCTCGACTCAATCTTAGAACAAAAAATGAATATGCAAAGTTACATGCATTTTTTTGAATTTTTCAAAATATTTTTGAATTTTTCTCAAAAACATAACTATTAACAATGCAAGACTCAAATAATTAAAATCAAAACAAAACACAACATTAGATGGTTAGTCTCTCTCTTAAACTTATTTCACACCGTCCCGGGGTGCGAATAAATCTAAGAAAAAGACTAACGAAAAACTAAAAGAAAATAAAATAACGGTATATACAATGGAGAGAAATGGTACCATGGAAGCTAAGGAGTGGTGCTTTGGTCTCTTGAGGCGTTCTTCCTTCGAGACGTGCGCATTGGAGCTTTTTCTTCCCGGTGGGGAAGCTGTTGAATGGAGTGTCGTGTAGGATCAATGTGAGCTCTTGTAGAAGGTCCGCAGGGGGAATGTCAAGCTCTTTCGATAAATGAGACGAGTGTCTCATCATTTTCAAACGGAGAGGTTCCTCGCTCCTCTTAATCTCTCTTCCCCGCCTTCTTCTTCATTCTCCTAATAATTCGGAGGGGCCAAGAACTCGGATGAGACATAATCCGGTGGGTGGAGCTTCTTCACTTTCTTAAGTAGGTTCCCAATTACATAAGATTGCCACTTGTTGATCTTCCTTTGAAACTTGATGACGGATTGAAGCAACTTCTCCGTCTTGGTATTTGGCACAAATTTGAGCTCAGGGAGATCATACTTTTTGAGGCGGTAAGGGTCATCTCGTTGGGGTGGAGGCGGTGGCGAGTCTTCTTCAATCTCTATAGGTTTTTCCTCATTTGGTACTTGATATTCCTCCTCACTTAGCAAAAACTCAATCTCTTCATGATTCTCTAGAGTTGTGATCTCTCTTGAAGGAAGTATGTATTCCAACTTGTTATCCTCTCGATCCATGTACAAGTAGATGAATTGGTTTGCATCATTGTTGCATTTCAAGGAGCAAGCCTGCACCAAGTTTTCAGAGTCAATGTATTCACGCTTTGGGAGAGCTTTGAATGGAGAAAGATCTACTCCCGCTTTAACAAAAAGTGTTGTGAGAGTACCACCTATGTAGATGGACTTCGTCTTGCCCTTGATTACCTGGTTCTTGTATTCCTCTAGAGAAGAAGCCAAGATGCATCCATAGTTCACATCATCTCCAAGATCATCATCTACCATCATTCAATCGTCATCATCATTTGCATCTCTTACCAACAATTTTTTAACGCCTTGGAAGATGAAACACATCTAGGAAACCGTAGTACCTCTCGTTTCACCTCTCCCAAAAAAAGCATGAGCGAGAAGCTTCAAGGCGTAGCAAATCACTGGGTGACGGACTTTCGTGATCTTTGCCTTGTGACTATTGAAGTCCCCTTTTGCTAACACATCCCAAAGGAAGTGGATTCCTTTAAACTTTGGGAAGCTCATTGCGCTCTTGTTCTTAAACCCGTAGGCTTCACAAATCTCGGGAATTAATATGTAGAACGCTGTCGCCTTGACCTTGAAGTTCATTATTCCCTCTTTGACAATTGACACCTTTGGATTCTTAAACATATACTCCATGCTGGTTAAGAAATCAATTGTAGGCTCTTGAAATGAAGGGTTATCCATACATGTAAAAGCGTCTAATCCTATCTTAGTGAAAAACCCGTCAATAGTCTCGATCAAATCCATCTTCTCTAAGATCTAGCGATTTTCAAATCGCGTTGGAAATTAAGGAAGTGGAGAGATGACTTTGGGAGCTTTCTTCTTTTCCGTAGTCCAATGAGCAAAGAGTGCATTTTGCATTTCATTTGCGATCGTTGTCTTTGAACGTTTGGGCTTTGCTCTCGTGCCTCCCGCCATTGTGCCTATAAGAAACTCAAAACCAAATAAGTAACAAGAGAATAATCATAGAAAACTATATAAAACAAGTCTCATATTGCTACTAAAATTTTGAAATGAGGCATAATGAAGGTATCACTAGTAATGTCTACTCCAACTATAACCAAAATATTCAAGAGAACACAAGATGCAATCAATTTCAAACTTACGGTTCATATTCTCAAAAAAAATTCAAGAGACTCAATTTTTGAAAAATTGCAAACTATCCTATGAATGAATTGGGATCCAACCATTAAGTTTACTAATGTCTAAAGCATCACAAGAGCAAGAAAAAGACATTAAAAGCCCCAAATTCTAACTAATTTTGCAATTTTCGTCATTTTTTCACACATGCACCCTAAGGCATAGAAACTCTAATTTTCTCACAAAACATGCAAAATAAGCACCAACAATCATTACACTATCTTGTTTTACATGATAGCGCTACATTGATGAGTCAAGAGAACCATACCTTGCAATGTTTTCTTCTTCTCTAACACTACATCTTTAAAGAATTTGTTGTAAGTCGGGGTTAACAAAAATGCATCTATGATAGGCATTGTGATAGTAATTTCTTTCATTTGCTAATCAAACATTGCTCTATACTTCTCCAATTGTTGCTTTATAAAACGGCCCGGGAATGGTAACTTTGGTTCATAAAGTGGAGGCACAAAGAGTCTCTTTCTTAGAAATTTTTTTACCCTTTTTGGAGCTTCCTTCTTGGACCTCGTCTTCTTAGACACTTTAACCACTTTACCCTTTTCTTTATTAACAACCTTTTCCACATCAACCTCTTGTTCACAAACTTTCTCATTCAATACCTCATCCTCTTCAATCTTAATCACTACCTCCCCTTCTTTAGGCTTAATGTCCCTATTGAGCTCTACACTAGGCAATGCTTTACCACTTCTAAGCATTATGGCATTGATATACTCTTTGGAATTTGGTTCTGGTTTACCCGGTAAAGTATCCATTGGACGCTTGGATGTGGATGATGATTGGCTATAAACATGGACATTCAAACGCTCTATTTTGGCATTGAGCTCACCATACATGTCATCAACCTTGGTGTGCATGCTTTTTATTTGGGTGGCAAGTTCGTTTGTATCATCCGCTTAAGATAGAAGATTCGATGAACTCCCTTGGCTTTGGTTTTGGTGGTAGGTTTGAGGTTTTTGTTGGTAGTTTCCTTGAGTTTTAGGTTGATAGTTAGGTTGTTGGGTAAACCGGGAGGTTTTAAGGGTGGGTAGCTTTGATCTTGTGGGTTCTCCACATTAGTGCCCCAATAAATAAGGTTAAGATTTGTTTCTATAGTTGGGGTTGAACTTGTTGTAGCATTGTCCTCCAACATAGTTGACCTTCCATGTTTTCTTGATAGCTTTGGTAGACATTACTCTCGGATACAAAGTGGACTGTTTTTGATTAGTAAGAATCATCCTATCCATCTTATCATTCAAAACTTTGATTTCTTTGCGGTGTAGATCGCTCATCACATTACTTTTCCTTGAAGTGCGGTCATAATCTTCACCATAGTTACCATCATTTTGAGCTAGATTCTTTACAAAGACATACCATCCTCAACATCTTGGCCCAAGAAATTTCCATTACTCGCTGTGTCTAACAACATCTGAAATTTAGGGAGAACTCCTCTATACAAGGTGCTTAGTAGAGACTCATTAGAGAAACCATGATGAGGACATTGCATTTTATATCCCTTGAACTTTTCCCAAGCTTCACAAAATTTTCATTGCTCTTTTGAGTGAAGCTAGATATCTCATTTCTCAACCTTACCGTTCTTGTTGTAGAGAAATTTTTTGAGAGGAAGGCTCTTTTGCATTGATCCCAAGAGGTGATGGAACTTTGAGGTAGATTCTTCTCCCAAATACGAGCTCGGTCTCCAAGAGAAATCGGGAAGAGTCTAAGTTTGAATGCATCTTCTGAGATGCCATTGATCTTCACCGTGCTACAAAGCATATCAAATTGGTCTAGTTGATCTAAAAGGTCCTCCATTGATAAACCATGAAACTTATAACCTTGAACCATGTTGATGAGGCTTGACTTAATTTCAAAATTGTTGTTCTCAACTGGAGGAGCGTGAATACCGTTCCTATTTGTACGGATGTTTGGTGGATAAAATACTCCAACTGGATGAATAGCTCGTGGTGCATGGTTAGGAACTCGTGGTGCTTGGCGAGGAACTTGCTCACCATTGCGTTGGCATTTTCATTATGACCGTCATCTCCATCAACCACCGGTGGATGTTTTTTATCTATTCGTAACTGTGCTAGATGTTCAATGCGTTCCCCTTTCTCGTCTTGCACGTGAATTCTCTCTCTCAAACCTGCCAATATCTTCAAACCGCTCAACCAAATGCTTTTGACCGTGACTTCGCAAATGCATACACCTTAATTAGCAAGAGAAAGATCAAAACACCAAAGCAAGAAGGTTAAAAAATAACATAAAGAAAATGTCTAGTCTCAAGCAACATAACGAAATCCTAATGGTTAATGTAGATTGCAAACCGGCAACGGCACCAAATTGATGTAGTACTTTTCTCAATTAAATATCGAACCATAATTTGCAATTAATCAACTCACTAGGAACACACGAAGAAGCTTAATCTAGGCTAACAAGATGATTTGGTTTCGTAAACTTGACTAACAAAATAAATAAAAAAACCAACAATACAAAACAAGGCAATAATAAAAAAAAAGACTAACAAGATTCATAAATAAACAAAGCGGGGAATAAATAAGTTACTAAACGATAATTAAAGCGAATTCTAGGGTTAAAGAAAATTGATTTGGAATGATAAATAGATGGATTATGGAGCTTCAAACAACTTCTAATAAGCAATGATCTGTAGGCCATAGAACACTAAGCAACACTAACACATTTCCATGACATTAGTCTATTTACTAATCAATTAATCATGAACTTTTTCCAGAGGCAATCGATTAACTAACAAGCATTATAAACAAGTCTATCTAGCCACTAAACACCCTAGTCAACAATTTCCAAAGGTAAGGAATATAAGGGGGTGATTGGCTGAAGACTTTTAAGGCTTTAGAAGGTTTAACAGCTCTTACGACCAATAGTTTTACCAATCAGGCTTTTTCAGATTTTTTTTTCTTTAAAGTCGTGACAGTCTCTTTTTTTTTTTTGTTTTTTCTTTTCTCTTATTTTCTAAAGTCACGTAGTTGAGGCTTTTGTAAAACTGTGAGAAAAAACAAACCCAAATCTTTTTCTTTTTCTTTTTCTTTTTCCCCATTTTGTGTTTCTTCCTAAGAGAAATAAAAACTCTTCATAAATCATCGATTATATTATCACAACAATATTTTGAGTCATTAACCATCATTTCTTTTTTTCCATTCTTTTGAAATCCATTTTTCTTCATAAAAAATCTGGCCATTGTTGGTGTGAAATAGAGGTAGATAAAAATAATAAGAAGAACTACCCATATAAATTGATAGAACGAGAATTATATCAAAAATTTGATAAAACAAGAATTTATATTGATGAAATTGATACAATCCAGAATTCAAATTATATTAAATAAATTGATATAAACCATAATTTATATTGTATGAAACTGATATAACCCATAAATTAAACAAATGAAATTAATAGAACCGAGAGTTTCGTTTGTGAAATTGATAGATTTAAAATCTAGAATTAGTTTTGGAGAATTGGAAGAAAACCTGATTTGATAATGAAAGCATCTTCAAAGTTTTTTGTGTACCTATTTTGATATAATTTTATGTTAAACTAATTTCTCGTTCCAGATGTATATTACACTAATCATTTATTTATGAATTTTTGTATTTTAATTTTTTTTATTAATAAATTTTAGTTTTGTTACTATGTTGCCACATAATTTCAATTTACCATAATTTCTATTTATAAAAAAATATTTAATAATAATAAAAAAATAACATTCACAGCTTCTACAGCTTTTTGTTACCAATCAGATTTTAACAGCCAAAGTCTTTACAGTCAAAGTCTCTGCAACAAAAGTTTCTACAGTCAAAGTTCTTAAATCCAAAGTCTTTACAGCCAAAACTAACAGCCATTACCAATCAGCCCCTAAAGCACTTAAAGGTTTTGGTTCGAGAATTTCATCGAACACCTTCTGGGCAATCTAGCTTTATAATCAACCAATAAGCAAGGATCTTAAATAATCTAACCCTAAACTCCATAACCCAACATCTAAACCATCCTAATCTACCTTAACCCAAGAACTCTAAATGACTACTCATTCATGATTATGATTAAACAAAGCAATAAGGTTGATCTTTGTGAAATCATAGTTAGAGGAGGTAGATAAGAGATTTTAAAGAGAAATTTGGATTCAAAACTCAACAAACAAAAGATTCATACAAAAAATTTGAAAGAAAGGTTAAGAGAAGTTTTTTGTTTTTTTTTTGTCAGTCAACCCAAGAGAAAAAAGTCAACTTACCTAGGAGATTTCTTATTGGGGAACACACGTAGATGAAGCACCCTGATGTATCAACTGGAAGTTTTTAAATTTTGATGGACCAACCGACGTGATAACTTTGATGTGGCATCTTGATGCACCAGCTGGAAGTTTTTAAGTTTTGACATACCAATTTGCATCTACGTGAGAACCTCGATGTGGCATCCTGATGCACCTACACCAAACATGAAGAGGGACTTATTCCCTCAAACTTGACCTATAAACCACATTATCAAATACAAAGTAAGATAAACAAAAATTAAGCAAAAAAATGTACAAGGATACCATGAGATTGCCTCTCAAAGTGCAATTGTTTTATGTCACTAAGTTTAACATTTCCACTCCATTTAGGCAGTTTGAGGTTCCGAGAGAGAAACCGTGGTTCTTTCCTCAATGTGTTCACTTGCAAGTAAGGTTTCAAGCGTTGACCATTCACGACAAACTCCCCTCCAACCTTGTTCCATAGCACCAAAGCTCCATAGGTCTCACTTCTTTGTTCTTAAATGGACCCGACCAACGAAACTTGAGCTTTCCTGGGAATAGTCTCAAACGAGAATTGAACAACAACACTTGATCAGAGAGACTAACCATCTAACATTGTGTTTTATTTTGATTTATTCTCTTTGAGTCTTACATTGTCAGTAGCTATGTATTGAGAAAAATAAAAAATGATAAACAATTGGCGGCGAGAGCCTCATCTTTTGCTAGCTTTGGCACCCAGAGGCAAAACCGATTCAAGAGACGAAGGTGACTCGCCGGAAAACAACATATGAATCCACTGGAAGCGTCGGCCGCATCAAAGAGGGGATGTAAAAGAGGATGGAAAAGTGAGATGGTTGGAGCGAGTGTAAAAACAAATGAGCAGAGAAGCGAGAGAGTTGTGGAGAAAGCTTCGAGATGACTGGACATCCCGACGTCGGGGACACGACTCCGCTGGCGTCAGAAAACATTGTTAAAGAAAGTGTTTCGATAAGGGTGCTTGAGAGAAAAAGAAAAGAAAGAGAAAATTATTCCAAAAATATTCAAAATACTTTTCTATCGGAGTCTCAACAAAGGTTGCTCTTACTAATGGTTGGCTCGTGGTGTATGGTTTCCGGTAGCTTGGCTTTCTCCGAGTAGGGATTGACAGATGTAGGCCTAGATCCATATAGTGCAGGAGCCGGATTCTTTGGTGGCATAGGGCTAATGTCTGGTTTAACCTAATTTTGACATTGATTGTGGCTTTGTGTGCCTCGTGGGCCTCGTGCCCAGTGTAAGTCTCATAGGCTTCTCCCAATGTTGGGCTTGTTTTTCTTTTTTGGGACTTTGGCCTTTTTCTTTTTCTATTTTATTTTCTGTTATAGTTTTCAGTAACCATCTTATAAGGGCTGAGTCCATTGTGTTTTGTATCCACCTATGCTCCTAAATATTAATAAAAAGTGAAAACTCTTTCACAAAAAATATTTATATACTGTCATCACAAAAAATAGATGCACCCATTAATACCAATCGTTTTTAGCACTTATCAATCAAAGTTACTAACTAGTTTATAACGGATTTACGATGAGCAGAAGTCATCACAAATTATTTTTGTTAATATCAACTAATTTAAAGTTAAATCGAAGAAGTAGTTAATGTATTATACAATGGATTTTACAATGGTTTATTGTAATAGATTCTAATATTTGCAAACTCTTTGTTAAATTGTGGTTATTCATCACTGAGTAATCATATTTTTATTCTTTCAACAAGTATTTAAAGAAATGTTTTCATTCTTTAATTCTGAAAAGTAGAACTAGGTAGTGGCTAAAATTAGAGGTAATTTTAACGTCATAAGAATAAATTAATCTTAACAGAACACATGTACAACGCATTTTTCTATGAAGCGTTACTTAAAGATCACTGATTAGTTTATAACATATTTACGACGAATAGAACTCGTCACAATATTTTTTGTTAATATCTAATGAGTAAATTTAAACCGAAGATGTTGTTACTGTATTCTTCAACGGATTTTATAATAGTTTATTGCGATAAAATGTAATCATTGCAAACTCTTTGTTAAATGAGGCATTTGTAACTTTTTCTGTGCCTTTTTTCAAAAATATACTCTTCTATTGTTTATTTCCAAAAAGATCCATTTTATGTACAAAATGACTAAATTACCATTTTTAATAACATTAGATAATGAGAAGGTGAAATTTTCTCATATTTTTGGCGCCAAAAAGTTTCGGTAACGTGCAAAATTTTCCCGACAAATTTTTTTCCCAATTCCTTAAACCTTATAAATATTTTAAGAATCCGTATAAAATCCTTCCCTTATAAATCATGTAAACCCTTCCCTTTTAAATCTTTTTAAAACTCTTGTAAAGTCTTTAAAACCACTTGTAAGTCTCTTAAAAACTCCTATAAAATCTTTTTAAAACTCTTGTAAATCTTTTTAAAACCTTTAAAAATCTTTACAAATATTTCAAACACTTCTAAATTTTTTTAAAAACCTTTTAAAACCCCTTGTAAATCTTCTTAAAACCTTTTAAAAATTCTTGTAAATCCATTTTTCGCCAAAAATTCCGGTATCATATTTTCTGCCAAAAATTGGGCTAGACGCTGGATAGGAGGACAAAAAATCGGATCAACAATTATTCTTATCGATTTGAACAAATATCAATGCCTAGACGACCAAGTTATAGAACAGGGTTTTCAACAAATATTTAATGTAAATACAATTTCCATTCTCCAATCCCAAAAAAGTAGAACTGTTAGAGGTAATTTTATGATATCATCATAAAAATAAATTTTACATAACACATGAACTACGCATTTTTGAATGATGCGTTACCAAAAAAAAAAGTAACGTTACTCTTTGACCACCGATTTTCAAATAATAAATTAATGAATTTTTACAAAAAAAAATATTGACACATCATACCATGACATCATTACCACATACGTCGAATTTATCTGCACGCTTTCAGTTGCGCATGTAAACACTCATCTACATAACCATGTCAGACATGTCGACAACAAAATTAACCCATTTTTTTTATAATTAGCAAACATGATCTAAAAACTAAACAATTTGGTCTCTTAAACTTGAGTCAAGTAAACTCTACACAAATTCATTCATGCCAAACAGCGAAAGATCCATGATACTCAAAACCTAAATATACAATTCAAACCTTTAAATATTCTGTCAAAATCTAAAAAGAATGATTTCTTAAATCTACACATCTTATCATTTTAAAACGCTCACAAAATAATTGATTGGTTTGTATATTATTCTTAGTCAAATCCATAGCCTAATTTATTATATTTCCTATTTTTCCGGTTTAATCATATGCTTTTGCTAATAACTTAAACATCTCTAGATCTGATAAAGTTTTTTTAAAAAATTTGTTAGTTGTTACCCTTTAAATGATCTTATTACTCAAAAACAGTCCAACAACTTTATTAGTTACCCTTAAATGACCTTAATTCTCATTTCTCAACAACACTCATCAAAATTTCTAACAAATACAAAAACCCAACATCCACCCAAACATAATCATTCAAATGATTCTACCCAAAAATTTTTTTATCTAAATGATGGGTAAAATTAGGCTTGAACATTTAGATTTCAGATCGGATTCGGTTAGAATTTTTTTGGATTCGGGTAATTCGGATGAGAGAGTTTATTATCCGTTCAGATTTTAAGACTATTCGGTTCGGATGGTGTCGGATTTAGATCAGCTTGGATCGATTTTCAAGAAAAAAATACTAAAAATTTGTATAATTTTAATAAAAATTTGTATAATTTTCTAAAATTTGGTTGAATTTTGCAAATTTATTTATAACTGTAACAAATATAACTAAAATTTTCGGATATCTAGGTTATTTCGGATATTTTTGTTATTTAATTATTTTTTGGGTGTAAAATTATAACTAATATTTTTGGATGTATATTTTTATTTTGGGTTAGCGGATATCCATTCGGTTTTTGTTCGGATCGGATTCGGTTTGGGTAACTCGGGTAGGAGAATTCATTATCCGTTTAGGTTTAATTACTATTCGGTTTAGTTTCTGAACCGGATTTTGGATTTTGGATTATATGTCTAGTCTTAGGTAAAATAGAAAAATACATAAAACAGTGAAAAAAAAACAAAATCTATTAAAAACGTATAAAAAGAAAAAGACACAAAAAGAACGTTGAAAAAGAAACAAAAAAGAACGTTGAGAAAACCAATAAAAAGAAGAAATGGGCCTGACTGAACCATAACCAATCACTCTCTCTCTCTCTTTCTTCCCCTTTTATCACGTATCGTGTCTCCAGCTGTGTTTCCCACACACACTCTTTTCAAAACCCCACCGACGATGGCATTTCCGTTATTTTTCTAACGGTCACACGTCCCTTACGTGGCCACCTTCTTATTTTTTCTCTTCTTATTTTTTTAATCTCCTCTCTCTATCTATCTTCTTCTTCTTATTCCAATTCTCTTTCACACACTCTTCTTCTCTACTTCATCATCATCACCCACAACACACACTCATGGCTTCTTCTTCCTCCATCTCCATCACCACCATCATCACTTTCCTCTTCCTCTTCCTCCTCCACACCACCGCCAAAAAAACCTACATCATCCGCGTCAAACACTCCGATAAACCAGAATCATTCCTCACTCACCACGATTGGTACTCATCCCAACTCCAATCACAATCATCTCTTCTCTACACTTACACAACCTCCTTCCATGGCTTCTCCGCTTACCTCGACTCCAACGAAGCCGATTCTCTCCTCTCCTCAAACTCAATCCTCGATATCTTCGAAGATCCTCTCTACACACTTCACACTACTCGTACACCTGAATTCCTCGGTCTCAATTCCGAATTCGGTGTCTACACTGGTCAAGATCTTGCTTCAGCTTCTAATGGCGTTATCATCGGAGTTTTAGATACTGGTGTTTGGCCTGAATCTAAAAGTTTTGATGATACTGATATGCCTGAGATTCCTTCTAAATGGAAAGGTGAATGTGAATCTGGCTCCGATTTCGATTCGAAGTTGTGTAACAAGAAGTTAATCGGAGCTAGAAGCTTCTCCAAAGGATTTCAAATGGCTTCAGGAGGTGGTTTTTCGAGTAAGCGTGAATCTGTTTCTCCTCGTGATGTTGATGGACATGGAACACATACTTCAACAACCGCCGCTGGATCCGCCGTTAGAAACGCTAGTTTCCTCGGTTACGCCGCCGGTACAGCGAGAGGTATGGCGACTCATGCTCGTGTTGCTACTTATAAGGTTTGTTGGAGTAGTGGTTGTTTTGGATCTGATATTTTAGCTGCTATGGATCGAGCTATACTTGATGGTGTTGATGTGCTTTCGTTATCTCTTGGTGGTGGTTCGGCTCCGTATTATCGCGATACGATTGCGATTGGATCGTTTTCGGCTATGGAGAGAGGTGTTTTTGTGTCTTGTTCAGCTGGGAATAGTGGTCCGACTAGAGCTTCTGTTGCTAATGTTGCGCCTTGGGTTATGACTGTTGGTGCTGGGACTTTAGATAGAGATTTTCCGGCTTTTGCGAATCTCGGTAACGGGAAAAGACTTACCGGTGTTTCGTTATATAGCGGTGAAGGAATGGGGACGAAACCGCTTGAGTTGGTTTATAATAAAGGGAATAGTAGTTCGAGTAATCTTTGTTTACCTGGTTCGCTTGATTCGGGTATTGTTCGTGGTAAAATCGTTGTTTGTGATAGAGGTGTTAATGCTAGAGTTGAGAAAGGAGCTGTGGTGAGAGATGCTGGTGGTTTAGGGATGATAATGGCGAATACTGCGGCGAGTGGAGAGGAGCTTGTGGCGGATAGTCATTTGCTTCCGGCGATTGCTGTAGGGAAGAAGACTGGTGATTTACTTAGGGAGTATGTTAAGTCAGATTCTAATCCAACGGCTGTTCTTGTTTTTAAAGGAACGGTTCTTGACGTTAAGCCGTCTCCTGTGGTTGCTGCTTTTAGCTCGAGAGGTCCGAATACTGTTACTCCTGAAATCTTGAAACCTGATGTTATTGGTCCTGGAGTTAACATCTTGGCTGGTTGGTCTGACGCTATTGGTCCTACTGGTCTTGAGAAGGACTCGAGGAGGACTCAGTTCAACATCATGTCAGGTACTATTACGAACTCTTCACGGGTTCAAGATGCTCAATTTTGAAACTTGGTTTTGATTGCATATTCAAATTATTGATTTGTTCTGACATGAAAAGGGTGTGATTCTTGGAAGTTATTAATTGAAGCATGATTTTGATTACATATTTCAGTTATTGATTTATCTATGGTTATAAAGAGGGGTTTGGATTTGTTTTGTTTGACATGAAAAGTGTCTGATTTTTGTTAGGTACGTCAATGTCATGCCCACACATCAGTGGTTTAGCTGGTCTTTTGAAAGCAGCTCACCCGGAGTGGAGTCCGAGTGCTATCAAATCAGCCCTCATGACCACAGCTTACGTTCTTGACAACACCAATGCCCCTCTCCATGATGCTGCAGACAACAGCCTCTCTAACCCACATGCTCACGGCTCGGGCCATGTAGATCCTCAAAAGGCTCTTTCACCGGGTCTCGTCTACGATATCTCCACCGAGGAATACATCAGGTTCTTGTGCTCTCTAGACTACACAGTAGATCACATTGTTGCGATTGTGAAGCGACCTAGCGTCAACTGCTCAAAGAAGTTCTCTGATCCTGGTCAGCTCAACTACCCAAGTTTCTCGGTTTTGTTTGGGGGTAAAAGAGTTGTGCGGTACACTCGGGAAGTAACAAATGTTGGTGCAGCAAGCTCGGTTTACAAAGTGACGGTTAATGGAGCTCCTAGTGTTGCGATCTCAGTTAAACCATCAAAACTTTCGTTTAGAACCGTGGGAGAGAAGAAGAGGTACACAGTCACGTTTGTGAGCAAGAAAGGAGTGAGTATGACAAACAAGGCCGAGTTTGGATCCATCACTTGGAGCAATCCGCAGCACGAAGTGAGAAGTCCCATCGCATTCTCTTGGAACCGGTTTTGATAAACATCTAACATCCCTAGTGATGTTTTCTATTTAAGTTATCTTACTGTTGGTTGGGGGTTGATTTCGGTTTCTACATGATTGGGTTTAGGCTAAACCAAAACCCATCCTAAGCCATAACTAGTGGGAAGTGTTCTTGTTTGGTTTGGTTTGAGTCATTGAGTGTGTAGGTGAAAGCATCCCAAAAAAGTTAGGGATGATAAAAGAAAATGTTGTCAGGAAAAGAACGTTGATGTCATATGTATTGCTTCAAGTTTTTTCATTTAACTATTAAACTGATGTAATAGTCTCTTAAAACAAGCAACAAAAGTAATGTGACATGATGTCACTGACATCACTCAAGAGTCTAGACAAAATGGAGGACATGCGTTCAATACAAAATCACGTGAAGCTGACAAAGTACTGATGCAAGTTCTATGTTGAGGGAAAAGTTATAAAATATAGTATATGCATCAAGTTGTCACAACTGGATAGAGTTATTCAACAACTGGATTAACCGTTTTTTTTTTTTGGGGTAAAATTTGGCTCTGAAAGTAAAAATTGTAGGTTTCTCAAGCGGATTACTCGTACGGTGCCTAGGGAGAAAAGGAGACAAATTATTTCAGGGGGTGGGAGATAACTTATAGTTGGATTGATTTAATACCCGCGATCATCAATAGGATTGTCACGTAGAGAAAACATTTGATAAAATGAAGAATTTGACTCTTCAAATACTGGAATAATCTCTGGTGTAAGGATGTAAAATTATCTCAAGACTCTATAGGGGTATGTATACTTGAGATGAGGCTAAACATGGATGGACCATGGACTGGCTTTTAAACATCCGAACCAATGGACTATATATGGTATATATGGATGGTTCGAGTTGTATCAAAGGTTGACGATCAGATCGAAGGAAACAAATCTTGGCTTGAGGGAATCCGAGAGATTAAAGTGTTTGACCTTAATCGAATGGATAATTAACATAAATATAGTTCAAATTTTAAGTGTGCTTAAATGATTGAGGTGAAAGATGGAATGATTAATGACTTAGTCAGGGAGAATGAAAAAAAAAATAAGTTGAGTGAGTTGAATTAAGGAAGATGAAACAAGCTAACAAGATTGATCATTTTTCATGTAGCTTAATCGAGATGGAGAAATGATGGTTAACCGATAAAGTTGAGTAAACTAAGACAATAATGGTCAATCGATAGAAAAATCGGTTATCAAATTCATTAAATCTACATATGTGATTTTAAGGGAGAGTTTGATCCTATATCCTACAAATAAGATGTCTTAGACAAATTTTTGCACATTCATGTGATCAGTGAAAACTATTTTGCTACCCTAATTAAGACAACCAAAAGTAAAAAAACAAAACGAGTGAGAAAATCTATAAATCGAATTGTGGTATGTTCAACTAGATCGAATAGGATTGTTGTCAGAACCAAGCAGAAAACATCCACACAAAACTTTAGAACGAAGAGTCTACTAACACTGATGACACATCTTCTCTCGGTGAAAGGGTTGGAGGCTAGCCGAGGGATATTGCTGCTTCCGCAATAAGAATACAGTCTTGCTCAAAAGACAATCTTTCTCAGCAAAAACACCCTTTTCTTTGTTCTTGCTAAGCAGTCAAGCTTTCTCTTCAATCATGTGTGACGCAAACGACGACGATCCTTCTCAAAAATCCTATGCAACAGTAGTCCTTTGTGTGTTCCTCGTGAGCATGGCTTCTCCTAGTATAAAAACCTAGAAAATCATTTTCTAATCTATACTTCACAATATGAATTCCACAGGCGGTGGTGGCACAACAACACTAAAGTTGGAGATAATCTGCTAGATATTGGTCTTTTACATAAGTCTTCTTGCCTTTACGCTTTGTATGTATGAATCATTTGTTTATCTTATTAGTTATTGTTGTATACAAAATAGACCTTGTAGCTTTTCTCCGTTCTATCTTTATGCTTCATATGGATGTTGGATGAACATGAAGATTATCGAGTCCATCACTATCTTCCATGTGTTTCGTGAAAATTTAGAGGATGCATCTTTCCACTAATATAACCAATTCTATGAATAAGAGTACTAGAGTCTTAGAGCAACATTATTGGTGGTATACTAATAGAGAAAATTAATATTTGTACCACAATTGGCCCAAATCTTAGCCTTACTACCACATTGGAGGCCCAATTATCATTCATACCACAATGCGGTACATTTTACCCTCCAACCGGTGAGACAAGGAACTGCGGTTGATGTGACCATCCGAAACTCCTGCCGTCCTTTGTCTCTCTCCTGGCACATTGGTAACCGTTTTCGTCCCTCTGGCTGGTAAAACAAAGTTGTCCCCGAGTAAATCCAGATCTTCGTCTTCGGCTTTCTGGCGGAATAAAATAAAGATCAAGTTGTCCCCGAGTTAATCCAAATCTCTGGCTGGTAAAACCACATCATCTGGCGATGGACAATCAAGAGAAGTTGTCCCCGAGTAAATCTAGATCTCTGTCTGGTAAAACCACATCATTTGGCGATGGACAATCAAGAGATTTAGTTGTCCCCGAATTTAACCCATATCATCTCCCCAAGCGTTTTTATCAATTAATTACTTGCCTTGGCCTAGTAATTGATGCTTTGCATTATATTTTAATGTCTAATAATCATTGTCACCATTTAATGTGGTTGTTCCCCTTTTTCAACATGATGTACTTTTTTCTGACGCACAGTGCATTAATTCTCTCTCTTTCTGCAGAGTCACCACAATACCACAAACAAGTGGTACAAGTGCTAAACCATTATCCATTGTGGTAGAGATGCTAAGGGATTTTCCATTTGTGGTACATTTGGCAAAATTATCATACTAATATTGGCTCTTAACATTAGTTTAATACTAAATTTGTAAAGTTTAGTGTTAAGAGATTACTTATTGGTTTTAAAATTTTATTTGTCTCCAATGGTAGGTTCTTAACTTGTGATTCTTTGAAAAAAAAATATTAATTCAAAAAGAGAAAATCCCAGAAAAACCTCCAGATTAAAATATTTTCCCAACTAAAACCTCAAACTTTTTCCGTTTCCAAATAAAACCTCCAAATTGAATTTTTTTCCCAATTAAAACCTCCAAATTGAAATTTAGAAAACTTAATAATTGTTGCTAATGAAAATCGTTTATGGTTCTTTCGGGTAGAGGAGTTCAGGATCCAATAGGGTAAATAAAAAAATCGGTTTGGTTTTTGTTCGGATCCTTTCGGATTCGGCGGTTCATGTATAGATTTTCAGAACAGCTAAATATCCGCTATACAAATGTTCAGGTAAATTGTCGAGTTTTCGGGTAAATACCAGGGTTTTTGGGTAAACACCTAATTTTTTGGATAAATATTCGGGTTTTCAAATAAAACATTTGGGTAGATTTGGGTTCGGGTTCGTGTTTTCGGGTATATGAGTTCGAGACTTAATAGGGTAAATCTAATTTTTCGGGTTTGGACTCAATAGGTCTCAATAGACACAAATTACAACTTCATGGCTTTGATTGGTGACACAACTAAAAGCAGTACATAAAAATTGTTACCAATCAAAACAACTTTATGGAAAGCGGTACACTATAACATAACAGTTTTTTTTGGACAAAAACAAAAACAAATTAAAACGGTTACGGTTAAATACGGTTATGGTTAAATACGGTTACGGTTAAATACGGTTATAACGGTTACGGTTAAATACGGTTACAGTTATGTTTACAACGGTTATGGATAATTACGGTTATAGTTATTTGATGACTACAATACGGTTAATATCGGAGGCGAAATCTTACGAGTTACCTAACTTATTATAATACTTTTCATAAAATAAAAAAGTATGTTACAAACCAAATTTTCTTCATTTCGAGCAAAATAACAGTATAACATATTTGTTTGAGAAAAAGACCATTTTTTATAACGTAGATTTTTTCATATGCGGTATCATTTACTTTTTTGAAAATCTTAATCTGAACATTCGATAATTTTTTTTGCATTATATGGAGTTACAATTATATTTTTAAAGTTTTAACTATGCGGTTAACGATATGGTTAAATAACGGTTTTCATATGTTTACAGTTAATTAACGGTTACGGTTAATATATTTTTTAACTGTAACTAATTATTTTTTACAGTTAACGGTTATGGTTTTTAACCATTTTATACGGTCACCGTAAAACTAGATTAGTTACGGTTAAAAAAAATATACTAACCGTAACCGTTAATATACCGGAAACGTATCAAACCGTTATTTAACCGTACGATTAGCCGCACGGTTAACCGTATTACTAACCGCATAATTAAACTTTATAAAATATAATTGTAACTATGTATAATGCAAAAAAAAAAGTATCGAATGTTCAGATAAAGATTTCCGAAAAAGTAAATAATACAGCTTATGAAAAAATTTCATTAGAAATAATGGTTTTTTTCTCAAACAATTATTTTGGAATATTATATTGCTCAAAATGAAGAAAATTTAGTTTATAACATATTTTCCCATCTTTCTAAATTCTGAATATTATTTATTATGTGTACCGCTATGATGTTTCCAATCAGAGTAAATTTTTAAAATTTGTTCTGCGTTATTTTTTGTACAGCTTTCGTGTTTTATTCTTTTGTACAGCTTTGCACTATTCCCTAATAGCTAACAGCTCCAACTAACAGCTTGTTACCAATCAGACCACATATGTCTCTCTTTTGTAACTCTTCTACATATACTTACAAAGAAACTCTATCATATATTTCTATCAATAGATAATCAACCGCACCAAATTCAAATACATAATTTGTTACCTTCTTCTCCCATTTCTTCACTCGCTTGATCAACTAATCAATCCACCTCTTTATCCCATCGGAACATAAATCACAAACATAACGATTAGGTTTCAAATTATTTCAACAACTCTCTATTTCAAATCCCTCAAAGCTTAATATTAGGGTTTACTAAGAGATTCCTACCACAGTTGCCGTCAATCGCCGTCGTTTCTTCACCGTAACCTCGCCGTCGATTCTTCATCGTAACCTCGCCGATGATTCTTCACCGTAACCTCGCCGTCGTAACTTCTACACAGATCCGTCTGTAAAAAAAAACGATGTCTCCTTTAAAATCATAGCAGAGTTTGATACATTTGCTAAAATAATAGCGAGCAACTGAAACTAATTAATTGATAGAAACACAAACGGATATGTTACCGGAACTTCTCTTTATCGCCGACCGTTGTTCTTG